ATCTCTGCTGAGAATCACTCTGTGCTGTGATATTAAGACTAAACCAAGCCTTAATCTCTGTCTCTGGACTCACTTCTAGGTCTCTGTCATAATAGTTTATCAAAACGATCCTTGAAATGTTCCTGAGCAGCAAATCATCATATTAGACTGATTTCTGAAGGAAAGGATCATGTGACACTGAAGACTGGAGTAATGATGCTGAAAATTCAGCTTTGATCACAGGAATAAATGACATTTTATAATATACTACAATAAAGTTATTTTAAATTGTAATATAATTTCGCGATATTACTGTTTGTACTCTATTTTTGATTCAATAAAATTAGCCGTGGTGAACAGAATAGACTTCTTTCAAAAATACGTGTGTGTGTGTGTATAGGCCTATATTATAAAAGACCACTGCAAAATGATCATTTCTGTTGTATTCTATAAACTAATGACAATGTTTCTTCAAATAAAAATATTGTCATTTAGAGAATTTATTTGCAGAAAATTATAACTGGTCAAAATAACTAGCTGCCATGTTTCCAGACCTCGAAAAAATGCAAAGTTTATATTCAACACAATACTAATGTTATTTAAAGGTGAACTATGCAGGTTTGTACCTCAACCGAACAGCTTCGGAGTCATTGGAATGGTTATATTGCTCTTTTCGGGTTGAATGGTGGTCGTTTCGCACCCCCCTATCGCATGTGAGCGGAAAAAACACACTTGCAACTTTGAGCCGGCGGGCCGCCGGCCGCAGCATCAGGAAGTGTCGCGTGATATCAGGTCTCGCGAGGTAACGAATTGTTTTACGGCAAAAAAGATCTGATAAAATTCTGATGAAATAAGCACCAAACAGAAATAACCCGGCACCGTATACATGTGGTGTTCGAGGCGCACATACAATACAGACTGCCGACAGTTAAACAGGGCGGCGCGCAGCTCTTAAAGGGGCCATACCTTATTTTCACTCGTTACAGCGTCCATCCTACTGAACAGGTACCGGTGTACAGGGGTAGGGGATCAGGCCGTGAGTGCTATTTATGACAGTACAAGTACTCCACAGCGACTCTAGGGGTCGCTGTTTGACAAAAACGGAATTCCTGCATAGTGCACCTTTAAGGAAGAGTTAAGAGAAATCAATATTTGCTGGAATAACCTTGACATCCAATCCCAGCTTTCATGCATCTTGATGTGCAGTCGGTCACATTGCTGTTGTGTGACTTTATGCCACTCCTGGCACAAAAATTCAAGCAGTTCGGCTTTGTTTGATGGCTTGTGACTTTGTGTCGTTCCTCCTGAGGTCTTCAGCTGGGTTCAGGTCTGGAGATTGGGCTGGCCATGGCGGGGTCTTGATCTGGTGGTCCTCCATCCTCACCTTGATTGTCCTGACTGGGGCATGGAGCAAAACCAATCCTCAGAGTTGGGAAACATTGTCAGAGCAGAAGGAAGCAGGTTTTCTTCCAGGATAACCTTACATAGCTTGAGTCATGCATCCTTCACAAAGATGTGCAACGGTTCTGTTGTGGCTTTTTTTCAGATGTGTTTTCGTTGGCGAAATTGAGCAAAAATAGACTATACTGTGACACAATATTCTCTGAAATTACTAAAAGTCACTTAATATGCACTTCTTTTTTACTTTTAACTTTACTTTTAGTTATTTTATTTCACGATAACGATATCACAATATAGGCTGGTTATTTTTGCTTTAAATAGATTTTTTTGTAATAGAACAAAGAAGTAGCTGCAACGGAACAAAGACAAAAATGAAATAGACCTACCTAAAAAACTTCAGGCTCTAGAAATCAAAAACTAGAACAAAGACAAATAAAAACATACCTGAAAAACTTCAAGCACTAGATAGGCCTATAAAAATACAGCATAAATTGTATAAAGTAATCAAATGTACAAAAAAAACCCACTACATAGTCTTCACTGTGTACATTAAATAGGCTATACATTTATTCTTATTAAATTTACAAAAACAATTCATTAAAGATAAGATTGTTTGATTAACATTAATGGCACAGATGGCAGCAGATATATTAGGCTGCTGTCACTTTAAGACCGGATGCACTGATCTAATATACTGATACACAAGCGCTTTCTTTCTCAACTGTTTATTTTCACTTAAGACATAAACGACTGTGTTTACGAGGATACTCGCAAAGTATGCCAAAAGACGGGCATTTTGACTGTGTTTTGACTGTTCAAGCCCAATAAGGCGCTAAAATGAACTCCGTTCATCAGTACTCACACACGCTGAACGAGCAGCGGTGCACGTTTCAGGTGTGTGCGCTCAGAAACGTCCCTAACACAAGAGTGCACACCGAAATGTGTCCTCTTTTGCTGTGTATTGGTTTGAGCATAACCACGATTGGTTGAGCATAGGGCTGCAACAACTAATCGATAAAATCGATAATAATCGATTATGAAAATCGTTGTCAACGAATGTCATTATCGATTAGTTGGTCTGCTTACGTCACGGGGAGCGTTTACTGGTGATTGGTTGAAACAGGCCAATCAGGATGCTCTCTGTCTTACACGCGCTTCATGAGGCACACACGCAAGGTCTCGTTGCTCTGCCGCGCGCCCGCGCTACACGGTTTGGAGCACAGTCTCTTCTGTCTTGCATGCGCGCTCAAATCCCGAGAGTTTGAACTAATTTGCGAGCATCAGGGAGCCGCTATCAATATGCGGGTGACTTCCAGAACTTCCGGGAGACTTGGGATATCTGTATTTTGCGTCTCGAGCATCAGGTTGCGCAATCAGTTCGCTCGCAACATAAGTGATGGATTAAAATAGTGCTAACGCAGAAATATTAAATTAAAACGGACTTTATAAAGCGAAGCACTAAATATAAAGGCAGTTAATAACAGCAGCAGTAAAATATTGTTTTTTAGTCACTGTACTCAGTGGTTTTCAGCGAATGTTTGTGCACTAATGCATCATTTTTCCTGTCTTTTTAATCAAGCCTGTTAGCTTGCTGCGTACCTTCATTACGTTATCTTTATATAGCATTTGTCTACTATTAAGTTTTAATTGTTTTTCAAACGCGATCTACTGCGGCTCTATGTTCACACGCTTGTTTTCAGTCTTTCTCTATATATATATTTTTTTTTTTACAAATTATCCTTATAATTCAATTAATTTTAAATAAAAATTAAATTAATTATATATTTTAGATGTTTTTAGTTTATATCTTCACATCTGAACAACATGTCTGTAAATTTGTTTTAACAAAAATTGTGTTAAAACTATTTGTTGGATATAAATGTTTTTTTTTTTTTACATGGTTGTCAACTTGCCATCAGCAATTATCATTAAAAACAATGCAAATATTGATATTTGTAAAACTCAATGTGTGGCTTTTGCACTTTTTAAAGTACACTTTTACACATAAATATCCTAATTTAGGGTTTTAGGTAACACTTTATTTTATTTTATGTGTCCTTGTTACATATGTTACATGTACTTACTGTAGTAATAACAGTAAATTATGCATAATTACATGCAACTAACCCTCAACCTAATCCTACCCTATTCCTATAGTAAGTACATGTAGTTACTTAATATTACTCTGTACTTAAAGATATAATTACACTGTAACAAGGACACCTTAAAATAAAGTGTAACCGGGTTTTATTTAGTCATAATAAACAAAAAATCGAATTGAATTTTTTATCCGATTAATCGGAAAAATAATCGTCCGAATAATCGATTATCAAAATAATCGTTAGTTGCTGTCCTAGTTGAGCATAACCACGATAGAGACGACAGTCCAATATCCCTACAGCTTGACACATTTCTGCTGGTATATTGCCAATACCCAATAAAATAAAAATCACATTTGCAAATCAATAGTGCAATACTTGAGCAAAAAAGCAGCCTTGCTTGTGTAATATTGCTTAAAAAGACCAAAACACACAAGGGCATTTTTTTGCCCCCATGTCTTCAATTTTGGGGTAACTGCATTCTGGTAGACTACATCCCACAATCAGAGTGTGCTCTCTCTCTCAAGGCATGTTTGGTTTGGTTTAGCTGCAAGCGCTGCCACATAACAATGAACCGGCACTTGCTGTTGTGTATTTAAACAACAGGTTAACCAATCAGTGTTTGATCGTGCAGAATCAGATGGTTGCTTATGTCAACATCTCCTGTATTAATCCTGTTTTGAATAGTTTGCATTAGCTTCCTATTGAGTTTAGAATTGAGTTTAAGGTATTATTGTTTGTGTACTAGTCCCTGGTAGGCTTGACACCACCCTACCTGTCTGATCTTCTGTCCTGCCATCAGACCAATAGGCCTCTAAGGTCATCGAATACTTAAAACTTGAAACTTAAGGGAGATTGTGCATTTTCAGCGGCAGCGTCCAGATTGTGGAATAATTTGCTGTTGTGTATACGATCTGCCAATTCTCCTCAGGTTTTTAAATCATTGCTTAACTTGTCTTTTTAAAATTGCTTATGGGCTGGAGTAATTTCTGTAATAATACTTTACTATGTGTGAATTTCTATTGTTGGGTAAATTTGTGATTTTTTTTTTGTTTTTTTAATTTTGTTATTTGTTTGTGATTTTTTAAATATTTTTTTTATGTATCTACTTTTCTTTTTTGCAGCACTTTGGTCGACGCTATCGTTATTAAATGTGCTATATAAATCAATAAAACTAAACTAACTAACAATGGTTTGTGGATATAGGTTCATTAACTTGTGAGTTAGAACTTTAGCTTTAATATTTGTAGTGGCTGTGCTTTGAAGATGATCAATTTCAAGACTAGTTTTTTTTTAGCATGCTTACAATGTGCTGTGCTTTATTCTGTTAACAGACTGCGGTCACCTACGCTAGAGGTGCTGCTATCAGAGAACACTGCAGATTCATTCATTTCATTGATGACTTGCATAAACAAGTCTGTGAAAGTGATAAATGATGATTATATGCAGCACAACTACCGATCAGAAGATACAAAATTCACATTCCACTGAAGTAATCTTTGTTTTTTTGTTTCATTTCAGGACAGTTTGGATGCTCTGGTTTACGACCTTGATTTTCCGGCCCTGAGGAAAAACAAAAGCATCGATAACTTCTTAAATAGATGTAAGTATTTTGTCTGGAGCTTGCTCTAAACCGTTCGAGGCTGCTTAACTGCAAGCGGGGATTGTTTTTGGGTCAGTACTTTCAGTCAGACACTATTTTGTCTGTCCAAGTATTCCCTCAACAAAAGGTCTTTGGGGACTGCATGGTGGTCACCCACATGTCATTATCTCTCTTCTCTCTCACCGTTACGTTGGAGGCATAACGCTGAATGACAGTTTTACTGCTCTAAGTAGTGAAGTTGGGCTTGTAACTTTAATATTATTTGTGCTACAGACACGAACAGCATCACATATTGTGCTATTACTCTTACAGAGACCTGAGAAATGATAAACAAGCTAAATTTACCATAGACTTATCTGGGATGTAGAATGTCATAGAGACACGGGTTCTTTGGACTCGGGCCAGTAACCAACCACCCGGAACAACCTAGCAACTACAATGGATCCTTTTTACATTTCCAAGTTGGGAACGCAGAAGTAAACTATAGAAGGGTAAATGAGAAAATAAGAGATCATAGCAAATATCATTGTCACATTCCCATTTGCTCCAAAACAAAACGAAAAGCAACAACATTGCATTGGATTCTAGCCACTCATCTATGAGGGACGTGATTTCATTCATCTTGACTGGATTGCTCATAAAATTGTAAACTGCCAGCAGGCGGTGAAGTGTCCCTGTTTTTCAGTTTTCAGTCAGTTAGTTTCTATTATATATATGCAAATGAATTGTTACTTTGCTTATCCTGCTTGAATAGACAATAAATGTTACAATGTATGAAATCAATTAAATGGGTATGTCTACTGGACACTGACAACACAAGTTAGATTTACTCAACACAAAATATATTTACACATAATATATATATATATATATATATGTATACAGGAAATACTAAGCATTAACATATCTGGGATGTTTTTGCAGAAATTGATTCACATAAACAATACATTTAGTCTCTGTTACTAAGTTGCACTCTACTACGTTAAACCAATTTAACCTTTTTTGTACATTTACTATTACTTTACGAATAAAATAATATTGTACGACACAACATAATTGCATAATCTTAGTGAATAACTGGACAAGACAAATTAGGCTGTATGCGCATAACTTACATAGATACATACATCTGTATTCAGATTTGATAGAATGAGCACTTTGACATGTTTTTCGTTCATTGTCACTGTAGTTAACTAGTTATTATTGTTTAATTAGCTCATGTAAAGAGTTAGTTTGTTTTTATCCTTTGTTAAAAGCTTGTTAACCATACCTAAATAATGCACAGGATTGTAAACCAATAGTAAAAGAGTTGTTAATGGTTATTAGTAGGGATGTCCCGATCCGATCACGCGATCGGAAATCGGGCCCGATCACGTGGTTTCAGACCCGATCGGAATCAGACGTTACCTCCCGATCAGGACTCGGATATATGTAAATTAGGAGTGTAACGGTACATGTATTCGTAATTATTGAACCGTTTCGGTACGAGGCTTCCGGTTCGGTACGCATACAAACCGAACGATTCCTAGGACCTGCAGACAAAATCCGCGCTGGCGCGATCACCACAACGTTGCGCAACATCAAATGGCAAACGTAAAGAAAGCGGAACGAAACTGCGCTACTCATTATATTGTGCTTAACGGACCATTTATCAGTTCGGACCAGCAACATCTGTGCAGCGCGAGATCAAGCGACACTGTGCTAAGAGATCCAGTGAAGAAAACATTTGAATTCGCCACTGAAGTAATAACATCGCTGCGAGATCTAGTGAGAAGCATTCCCATTTCTCCGTTATTAACCGTAGATCTCTATTAGATCAAACAGCGCTGACGTGGGAACCAGGAGAAACATTGTGCCGTGAATGAACATGGATTTAATGTTGCACTTTAAAACTCAAATATTATATAAATATATATTTAAATGTTATTTTTAATGTGATTACCAAAACATTTGTTCATCCTTCAAAGATGACACCCATTTATAAACCTGAAAGTTTCAAGATGTAGGAAAACTCAAACTTATTTAAAAATAGTTTTTCTTATAATAAATAGGTAATTTCTCTGGGATTTCTTTCTTTTTGCTGTATCGTATCGAACCGAACCGCAAATTTTGTGAACTGTTACACCCCTAATGTATATATACACTACCGTTCAAAAGTTTGGGGTCAGTGAGAATTTTATTTTTTATTTTTTGGAAATAAAAATCAATACTTTTATTTATCAAGGACAGTAAAGACATTTATAATGTTACAAAAGATTCAATTTCAAACAAATGCTGTTCTTTTGAACTTCCTATTCATCAAAGAATCCTAAAAAAAAACAAAAAAACTGTACAACTGACAGACCAACAACTGTTTCAACATTGATAATAATAATAAATGTTTCTTGAGCATCAAATCCTCATATTATACTGATTTGTGAAGGATCATTTGACACTGAAGACACTGACACTGGTGATGCTGAAAATTCAGCTTTGATCACAGGAATAAATTACACTTTACTATATATTCACACAGAAAACAGCTGATTTACACTGGAATAATATTTAATACTATAACTGATTTTTGTTGTATTTTTAATCAAATAAGCGCAGCCATGGTTAGCAGAAGAAAAGTATTTAAAATCGTACCGACTCCAAACTTTTGAACGGTAGTGTATATTCTCATTGTTTTTTTATACACTTTTAAAACATTTTAATTTTTTGTTTACATGCCTGCGGGGTATTTTAAGTTGAGGTGCTATTTGTTTTTATATTAGACTTTTTCTATATTGACTGTTGCACTAAAGTCCAAAAGTGAAGATTTTATGTTATTTATTACTTGATTGTTCAAGCTACCTCACAGAAGTGCTCTGTTTGTTAACAGAGTTGTTGAATGTTAAAATAAGGTGAATTATATAAAAAATAAGGAACATCCTGGATCTGTTTTTATGTATTATATAAGTATCGGATTGGGACTACTTAAATACTTAAAATCAAATGACTCGGACTCGAGGGCAAAAAAACCTGATCGGGACATCCCTAGTTATTAGTAGGGGTGTGACGGAATCGCGAGACTAAAATATGACGAGACGCCGCTACACTCACATTCGCCTAAACTATCGTTTAGCTGTTTTTATAAAAAAAATAAAAACCATTCTAAACTAATGTAAAAGTCTGCTCTGCTCATCCAGCACGAGTTGCCGTTGCAATCAGTGCAGCACGAATCACAGTTCACTGATCGCGTGAGGATGGCGGAGGATTCGTTGCGCAACATAGACTAAACGTCTGATAAATGTCCTATCTTGTAGAATGCGCGCTCAGCACCGCTGCTCCCTTTACACAGAGTATGTGCGATCACGAATTTGAAAGTGAAAGTAAAACACAAGCTCCCCGATGTGCATTGCGCACAAATTAGGCCGCATACATATAGTCCGTCTCCCAATATTTGCGGCTATGGTCTCAGTTTGCACTTTGAATATTGAGAGAGCACTGTAATGTCTTAAGGACAACAGACAAGGGAGGCTCCGTTTCTGAACTTATAATCGGAACGCAAGAACAACTGTAGAGACAAACACGCCAGCCTCGTTTCTCTCTACCCGGCCTTTTCCGAACTCACCGCATTATATTAACCCTATAACTGTCTGTGCAAAATAAAACAGCAATTTCAAAACAATTATAAAGAGTCTGTGTGATAACTGTGATTATGGTTGCACTTGCACTTATTGTTTGCTCAATCAGAAGTTCTGAAAGCTCTTAATGTACAGTAAGGGCTGAAGAGACTAATGTGAAATGATACAGGAGAAAAGCCAGTCAATAAAAACCTTTTACAGTGCTTGTATATTGTTTTCTTTCAATGCATTTGATCATTCACACTCATAAAGTAGACCTGAAATGACATGCATTAGAAGATTATTAGTTAAAACATTGCAAAATGCACCTGCATACTATTTTTCCAGTCATGAATTTTGTCATTGAGGATTTCTGAAAAATTGTGCAAAAATCTCGTCTCGTCTCGTTCTCGTGAGATAAGCGTCTCGTCACACCCCTAGTTATTAGGGTTAAAGTTCTCACTTTATATTGGGTCCTGTAAAATTAAAGGCACAATATGTACAATTTTTGGATTTAAAATATCCCAAAACCACTAAAATTATGTTATATATTTTGTTGATTTGTGTTGTTACATTATCCCAAGTGTTTCTAAGAATGTTTAAATCCAGAGAAATAAGCAGTTTTAGCCAGGACACCAAAGACGCTTTAATATATGATGTTTTGTTAGACAGGTGAGCAACTGTTGATGGATACGTTCATCGACAGAAAACGAATCATTGTTATACAGCTCAACACTTTGTTGAAATCTTGATTTACCGCGAGTACCGTTTCACCACACCTGATATCGCTCCGGCTTCCTGCCGTGTGCAACAAGTGTCTCATATAGCAGCCGCCGAGCGAACGCACAGAGTTAGCATAATAACAACTTCCATCACACTCAAATGTATCTAATATTAAAACAGCGCTGCATTACACACACACACACGCATGAGCGGAAGGGGCGTTTGCGGGATAACAAAAGCTCCATTGCTCTCGTCTCTCATTAGCAATCGCTCCAGCGGCCTCCTTCCACTCCAACGGCTTTTGTAACGCTAATAAATCTTTAAAAATTACCGGTCATCCATTAATATGATTTCTGCCCGAGTCCCGTCGTATTCTCCACCGGCTGTAGAGGTGAAGACAACAACTCCCACGATTCAGCGAAATCAAGGCATGATGATCAAACTACGCCTTTGTTTAGAATAATACGACCTCTAGCGGCGAAAAATGACATATTGTGCCTTTAAGTGCTTTTAACTTTCCTTTATTTACAATAAATTTAATTAAAAGTAAGTGGTCCAAAAATGTTTACAAATACATTAACCATAAATGTGCATCAATTCATATTATACATTTACATTTCTGTGCTATTAATTAAACGCTTTGTAATGAGCCACACATGCAAGTGTGCAGTTGCCCTATTTGTTCTGACGTTTTCAAACTTGATCGGATCGTTAAATTGAATGAATATGATTCAAATCGTATTGTTTCTCTGCTGTGTTTTTAAATCCGTTGGACGCCCCTCCATGCGTACATGCGTACTTGTGCCAAATGTGACTCGTACAAGAAAAGAATGGCTCTTGCCCTGCGATGACTAAATGTGTGTGAACGTTATCCGTCCCCTAGGGAAGCAGAGCTGTTAGATAAAGCCTTCAGGGCCCTCAGTGCTACACAAACTCACCTAAGTGGATTCCTTTTCACTTCCTCCTACAGCGAGGTTGTCTAATTCCTCCCTCGCTTTTCTTAATGGACTCTTAACAATATGCAGATGCTTGTCTAAAAGCACAGCCAGAAGTGCTTATGATTAAATGGTTTATGAGTGGAGTGGAGGGGGGAGATCTACTCACTCTTGCTGCTCTTCCACCATTGTGCCGAACAATCCTTGTGGCAAAACGTGCCATTCGGTGTCGAGCTGGACCAACTGGCAGCTGAGACTGTGTGCAAACGCTGAGAGAGTGCGCTACGATCAGTTAGGCCAGGTTTAGGACTGTGATTTGCTCTACTGAAGCACAGAAATGATACGGCCTGTGATGCAAAACAGAAAGGTGGCAAGAGGTGCAGCATTAAAGGGATAGTTCACTCAAACATTTCTCAGCCTCATGTCGTTCCAAACCCGTAAGACTTTCATTCATCTTATTCTTCGGAGCACAAATGAAGATCTTTTTGATCAAATCTGAGAGCTTTCTGTCCCTCCATTGACTGCCTATGTAACTTCCACTTTCAAGGTCAAGAAAGGTAGTAAAGATTGAAGAAATCCATGTGACTCCAGTGGTTTAACCTTTACGACACGAGTGCTTTGTTTGTGCAAAAAACATAATTTTTTATTCATATCACTTTATTCACAAAATATGAATCTCCAATCTTTTTTAGTAAATCGTCCCCTTAATTGCCCCTTGCAGCTCTGGGTTATATTGTGCATATGTGTGTGTTTGTTTCTAGATAAGGACACGATCAGCAAGATCCGGGAGCTGCGTATGAGAGCAGAGGACTATGAAGTGGTAAAGGTCATAGGAAGAGGGGCGTTTGGAGAAGTACAACTGGTAAGTGGACCGCGTCTTTTATGCTGTTGTCACTGCTAGTGGTGGACCGGTATTGTTTTTTTAATGGCCGATGTCTTAGAGAGCAGGATTGCCGATATATATTTTTTAAAATTAATTAAAAAAAATAATCTCTAAACTAAATGCTTACTTTAGATGGCAACTTCTTGATTCTGTAGTAGTGTTTTTCACAAATAAAGAAATTGTTTGGAAAATATGAATAAAAAGCAAGTAAAACACTCAGTAATGTGGTAAGTTTGTGCACACTGGGAATCCTTTTTTTAAAAAAAAAAATAAAGACAAGGTAACACTAATTTTACTTATAGCACACAGTGATAATGACATAACTATGAGACAGTGGGCAACTGGATATATAGCGCAGCATAGTTTAAAATCAAGGGTTTAAAGTTTGTCGATCGCTGAACTCTCCTGTCAGCGTTGAATTCACATGGACCGACCGCCACACACTCTCAGCGCCGGCAAAATAAAGGTCTGGCGCGCTGTCAAAATAAAAGTCCCAACAAAAATGCCAAATATTAGCTGATATATCGGCCTTGGCCCCCAGTCACTGCAATTACTGGTTGGTTTTAATGCTGTTATACCATTACCTAGAATTACATAATTTTTTTTGTTTCAACTTTTTACCAGTACCTTTAACATTTGTGTAGTAACTACCTCTCAGGTGTTTGTTTTTTTACATAATACATTAGTGCCGGTTTTAATTCCACATATGATATATATATTTTTTATATAGTACCATACTGGATGCGTAGCTGAAACTATGTGACGCTGCTCATCTTAAAGAGCTTTTACCATGGCGTTCTTATTTCATCTTGACAAACTGTCTATCATTAGAATGATTTTGGACTTTTTATGAGTTCTCTTTATGGACAGTTATTAAACCAATTCAATTCAAATTTATTTGTATAGCGCTTTTCACAATACATATTGTTTCAAAGCAGCTTTACAGAAAGTGCATTTCAGAAATGTACATAGAAAAATATAGTTAGTTAATCATCATGTATTAAATCATCATGTATCAATTGATAGATATTGATATTTTTTTGTGAACACAAAAAACAATTGGGGCATTTAGCCCAAAAGTGTGCATATTAGGAAAAATAATGCTGTTTTCAAATATGTTTGCTTCATATTTCTTTAGAAAGAATCATCATCAATTTCTTATCTTATCTTGTCTTATTACTTATTACTATGATGTACATGCGCGATCATATACCTCTGTCTTCTGATGACAAAGATTCAACATAAACATCCATGTTCTGACATGTGCAGAACACTAAATGTGAAACATGAAGCAAATAAATATATGATTATGATTACATAGAGTACATTACAATAAAGAATGTTTACATGAGAAATGCAGGTGTAGCGTTTAGCTTATTATAAAAAGTGTACATTTGCAGAATTACACCGCCAAATGGCATGTTGGGTATTGCTAGCCAGTCAGCTAGCATAACAGTGAGTTAACAGCTGGGAGACGCTCAGTCGCTACAGTACATCAAATAAGTCAGGTGTTGAAAGCTGGCAGGGCATGAATATACTGGAGGCCGTGAACACGGTGTCGAGGACACTTCAGGAGCTCACTGATGCCTTGTCTGGTGAACACTGTGTTAGTGTCCCGTAGCTCAAACCAGTGCTCCATCTCTTCCATGAAAGCGTTCTTGCTGAGGGAGAAATGACTCGCAGCTGAGCTGACTGAGGTCATGAAGACAACCCTTCTTGAATGAAAAGTGCTCAGATCCTGCAAATGTCAAATTATACAGTATAAAACAGTATAGTGTTTTTGTTAATGCATTTTGCCCCATACGACATCTGTGGAAAAAACTGTAAAAACAAAAAGTCCTGTTAAATTTACTGTAAAATCAAAGGTAGCTGTGGTTCCCAAACATTTTTTTTAAATACAATATGGTATATTCTTTATACTTGTTCGTAGGGCTGTGAAACGGCATCCAAAATAAAGTTTGTGTTTAGATAATGTGTGTGTGTACTGTGTATAATTATTATTTATTATGTATATATATATATATATGCATGCCATGCATGTATATATTTAGGAAGAAATTTATTTATAAAATATTTATATTATACATAATATAAATTTTATATATATGCAAATATTTTTAAAATATATACATGCATATGTGTGTGTATACTATATATATATATATATATATGTATGTATATCTGTGTATGTATATGTGTGTGTGTGTATATATATATATATTTGGGCTGTCAAACGATTAATCACGATTAATCGCATCCAAAATAAAAGTTTGTGTTTACATAATATATGTGTGTGTACTGTGTATAATTATTTTGTATATAAATGCACACATGTATATATTTAAGAAAAATATGTTATTTATATATAAAATGTTTATATTTATATAAAATATACATTATTTATAGGCTACATTCAGTCTATATACAGTATATACATGCAAATATTTCTTAAATACACATGCATGTGTGGGTATTTATGTATTAAAAATAATTATACACAGTACACACACATATATTATGTAAACACAAACGTTTATTTTGGATGCGATTAATCGTTTGACAGCCCTACTTGTTTGTACACTTGAATAACTTAAATATTAACATAAATCTTAAATTGATATTTTAGTATATTAAGCTTAATATTTAGATTTTTGTTTTGTTTTAAGTTTTGCTAACAAAATCAAACTTTTGCTTTTTTGCAAATCGTCTGCACTAATCTACTAGTGTAAATAATCAGGGTTCAACTGTCAGTATTTACTTTTAACACTTAAGTACATTACAAATAAAGTACTTTTATACTTGTGCTCAAGTAAAATGAAAACGAGTGCTTTTACTGGAGTAATATTTGATCAGGGAAGCTATTTGTTCTTTTACTTTATTCATGTACTACTTCGTGCACCATTGCTGACAGAAAAATAAGCAACTATAAGTAAATGGCCAGTCAATAAAAGGAAAGAAATACAGTGGCACTGCTAGAATCCAGATTCCCGGTCACACTGCCCAGCACTTGTACTTTTTTAACTTTCCGTCAGTGTGAATACAGTAGAAGTCATACGAGTGCTATTTTCTATATTGTTTCCTTAGTGTGTCATAGTTCAGTGAAGGTAAAGTAAATAACAAGCTCTATTCATGTTCCCTGTCTTCCTGTTCTGTAGGTTAGGCACAAAGCCACGAGGAAAGTGTACGCCATGAAGCTGCTCAGCAAGTTCGAGATGATCAAGAGGTCGGACTCGGCTTTCTTCTGGGAAGAGAGAGATATTATGGCCTTTGCCAACAGTAATTGGGTAGTACAGGTATGAATCAATTGATTAATTATGATTATCAATCATAATCAGCTGTGTGATTTGTCTTGAATGTGGATGGATGTCCAATTGCTCTTGAGTTAATATAAAAACAGATTTAAAAACTGAATACATTATATTCAGGTTATGTATGCGCTTCGTTAAATATAACGTTTTGCTGAAGATGCCTTCAAAGCGGCTACGAATGATAGAGCCATAACCAATGTCCATGCATATGCAGATTGTTATCTAACAGTTTGTTTTCTTCTTCCCATTAAAATTTGGGTATTTAAGTTGAATAAAATGGCAACAATAAAAATAGCTAGCTAGGTTAGCCGATTAGCTTAAAAGTGCATATATATTGCCGTCAGTTCGTATGTCTGCTAACACTTTCTCCCACGAGCGGATACGATGAGACCCGTTTTCCTGTTTGTTCATGTGACCCTCGGCATAAAGCTTATTGTTTTTGTTGCCATTGATCATGTTAAGTTGATTTTTTTAATGCTTTCTTAGAACATATTGTGATAACGCTTTACAATAAGGTTCATTAGTTAACATTAGTTAACTACCTTAGTTAACATGAACTAAGACTGAACAATACTTCTTCAGCATTTATTAATCTTAGTTAATATTAATTATAACATTTACTAATAAATTATTTAAGTCAAAGGTTGTATTTGTTAACATTAAACATTAATACACTGCGAAATAACATGAACAAACAATGAACAGCTGTATTTTTTTATTAACTAACATTTATAAAGATCTTTGTTAATGTTAGTTAGCAAATGTATTGCTCATTGTTAGCTCATGTTAGTTAATATTAGTGCTGTCAAACGATTAAAATATTTAATCGCGATTAATCGCATTTGTCATAGTTAACTCGCGATTAATCGCACATTTTTATCTATTCTAAATGTCCCTTGATTTATTTTTGTCCCATTTTTTTTTCTTTTCATTTTAATGCTCTTATCAACATGGAAAAGTGGATTGGCTTGATTTATGCAAATGTTTTTTTTTATTGAAAACAATATTGGCATATATTGTAGTGTTCAATTTCACACTAACATTCACACTTTGAGCAAATAATCTTTACACAATGTAACACTATCTATCAATAAAAGGGTGAAAAAATACTTTGTCACACAAACAGCCCTTTCTAAGGGATCAAAACGGGGCGATACAAAATAAAATGACAAAGTGCACATGTAAGGTAAACTAGGACTACTTTCTTTTTCTCAAGTTTGCTTTGAGCAGTCAGGCTACTGCTCTTTATTCACTAGAGGCTCATCAACCCAGCCTCTTATATCAGAAAGAATGAACAGTAGTGGTGTCACACCAAACGCGAATAGAGCGTCTGGCGCGAGCGTTTACGCGTGATGTCCTGCTGCGCGAATGAGGCGTTTAGCGTGGCGCGGTAGACGTGAATTCGCCTCATTCGCGCGTCCAGTTTGCAAGAATGACGCGAGTTGAGCGTTTGGCGCGATACACGCTAATTTATTTGGTGCATTGACGCGAATTCAATGGAAACATTTGGCAACTTTTTTAAAGTATACTTTCCACTTAGAATCTTATTGGCATCCATTCGGCGTCTCGCGCTCGCCATCCACTCAAAACGTAACCTTACCCTACTATTCGGCCGGCTCAAAAGCCCAAACAAGTGTGTGCGGCGTGCCTGTTGTTTTGTTTCTGGTCAAGCTAGATCCGGTGTGGTGTTGTAGTTTTTCTAACGTTACTAGTTGCTGTTACAGCATGTAAAAAAAACTACAAAGTTTGCTAGGCCAAAAAGAACGTTAATCTCGCGCTAAAAAAATTGATGCCGTTAAAATGGGTTTGCGTTAACGCCGTTAATAACGCGTTTAACTGACAGCACTAGTTAATACATGAACTAATGTTAACTAATTAACTTTTTTGTTAAGTGTTACTGCTGTTAGTAAACTGCACAGTGCGGCTACGTTGTTCATTTGAAAAATGGCGGGAAAAGACTTCCTGCTGACGAAAACCCTCTCAGTCGGTGACAAAAATCATGCAACGACACACTTGACCCCATACCGGCACATCGGTCAGAGCCGAGCGTGTGTTTTCATCAGCCGGAAACATTGTCAACAAAAAGCGCTTATTAGCACTCGCCGCAGGTCAAGTTGACCATCTGGTGTTTTTGACGAACAGTATGTAGATGTAGAGAGTAGAAGAGGACTGTTTCTGAGTGGCAGTTTGCTGTTTTGTGTTCATGTAGTTCATTACGTGTTTTCTCAGAATACGCGAAAATACTGAATTGAACTCTTTCACGTCGTGTTGCGCTTGAAAATGCCCAAAGTATCCTTGTAAACAGTCATATGTGTCTGAAGTGAACATAAACAGTTGAGATGTTTATTAAGATATCATAATATTTCATTTCTTTTCTTTTTTATGTCATCCAGCTGTTTTATGCATTCCAAGACAACCGCTACCTCTACATGGTGATGGAGTATATGCCAGGCGGAGACCTGGTCAACCTGATGAGCAACTATGATGTGCCTGAGAAGTGGGCACGCTTCTACACCGCCGAGGTCGTGCTGGCACTGGACGGCATCCACTCCATGGGCTTCATTCACAGGTCTCTCACACACATCAAACCGCACTTTCACTTTTTTTTCTGGTGTGCTTGCTTGCTTGAACTTTTGAAGATAACCAATATGCGTGTGTTAACATTCGTCGTAGGGACGTGAAGCCTGACAACATGTTGCTAGACAAGGCTGGCCACTTGAAGCTGGCAGACTTTGGGACCTGCATGAAAATGAACAAGGTACTAGAGATGTGCGAAACTACACATTTTCTTAAAAGTCATGTGTGTGTATATAAATAATCGTCTCGAAAACAAATGTTTTTGTTAAGCATCTGATTGTACCTTTTTAGCACAGTCCTGTACAGTATATTCCCACAATACTGTGTACAGTAGAGGCTAAAGGTGTTGTCCGGAGGTGATATTCGACAAGTTCAATTAAACCATCAAAATATGAGGATTAAACTTATTTTAAATATGAAGGAAAAACAAAACACTAAACTCGGTTAAGGTATTTGTCTGACAGGCAAACTTCAGCTACAGGAAAACTGCAGAGAACAACAAAAACCTCGCAGGAAAACACATACATCGACTACAACATAATCAGTTGTTAATATTTTGTTGATTCTCTCTTGTGTTTGCATGTTCATCATTTCTTTGTATGACAGTCTGACCACAATTTGGCATGTTTCATTGCGTTTTCACAAATAAAACAGTTGACTACAAGCACAACTATGCAATATGCTTAACAATATCTTTAACTAATTTTTAATAATAGTTAAATAAAGTTTGAAGATGTTCATTTTCCTATGCCGGACATCACTTCTTGCCACTACTGTGTGATAGAATTTCACCTGATATATTGTAAATCAAACTGTGTACGAATCTTATTTGGGGAAATGACATCAATTATAACCCCATACTTGATGTTCAATGGAAATTAAGACATTTAACAATTGCTTAAAGGGAAAACAAAACTATTCACATTTATAACTTAAAGCTGCTGTCCGTAACTTTTTTAAGTCAAAAATAATCCAAATTAATTATTAAAAAAAAAAGATATTCAGCCAGTGGTCAAAACTATCTGCTTGCCATAGCTAGATTCAAAACGGTTAGCTTGTAATAATGCTTTTAATTCCAGTGGTACTGGTGGGTTTCCGCGGGAAATTCGAGCATGTCTTTGCGTCATTACGTCACACCCGTACACATAAAGAAGGAGTTTCGGCTAGCCGGCTATACTGCGCGTGACGAGATGTTTAGATGTATAGGCTTTTCTCGCAGCACTTTACATGATTAAACTTATGGCGGATCCAGAAAGATCCAGACAACAATCATCAGTGTCAACTGGAGATTCAGCAGTTATAAAACCCAAAAGACTTCGTACTTCGGATTTAAGGTGGAAAGAGAAAGAAACCGTCTCATGCGAACACAAGGATACACATCGGTGGGGCTTTTGAAAGGTGCGTGAACTCCCGAAGGGGTTCGAAACGGAAGAAGAGACAGCTTTTTTCTGCTGAACAAGTAAGACATTTCAATAGTTCAATCGTGTAACAGTACGTTTTCTTAATTCACACAGTTATGGAGTTTCCTTTGTTGTGCCTTTCTCGTTTTGCTATTATGGAGAATATGAATTCTGAACTACACAGGTAATCATAAAACACATTAAATAACGTTATTCACGCAATGCTGATGTTGTTAACATGAACAATTTGAGAACAAAGTAGGCTATAATTTGCACGGTTGCTGTAAATCGCCCTGATTAAATCTAACGATCGCTTGTCATGTCGAATGCTTTTTCCCCCTTAGTTGGTCAGAACAAAAATGGATGTTACTTACTTGTTCAGAAGACATTTTCCGGTGAAAATTCTTATGTTGGTCAAGCTTTCAAAAAGTGAATCTGTGATTCTGTATGACAGTAGGCTATCCACACAGCGCGGTGATTGACAGCAGCACTCGCCTCAAAGCACTGTGTTCATCCGCGCTGTTTCATGCCGATTTACAACCCACGTAAAGATGATAATTCCGCGAATCACTGCAGTTACAGATTTCGAACAGAGATGGCGACAAAAAGGGAAAAAGCTACGGACTGCAGCTTTAACTAGACAGTTATAAAGTCAGCGGCGCTGTGTTCAAGAAATCTGCATTTGACATACAGACGAAAGTAAGAATAATTGTCATTCATCATCATGTAGTAATAAAAAAAAATAGTTTAGCTTCTCTACTTGGCAAGAATAACCCACCATCATAGTTATCAATACAACTGTATATAATAATAAAAAAATAAAAATAAATCCTTTGTACTGGATGAAATCGCAGCGTTCTGTCTCACAGAGCAGTGAATGTTGTTTACAGCAATCCACAGAATCTCTTATACCTTTAAAGCACCAATACTAAAAAAATAATAAATCTAAAAAAACATCTACATTTAAAGCTATTCAACCTCAAAAATGAGCAAGTCAGTTGGTGAATGACATCCTGAACCATTCCTATAAAGTACTTGAGTCACATTTAGTGTTCTCTCAGTTCTGCTGTAGTCTCTGCTCTTCTCTTCCTCCTCAGGATGGGATGGTACGATGTGACACAGCAGTGGGAACTCCAGACTATATTTCTCCAGAGGTACTGAAGTCGCAGGGAGGAGACGGCTACTATGGCCGAGAGTGCGACTGGTGGTCTGTGGGGGTCTTCCTCTACGAGATGCTCGTTGGTGAGTTTCGCATCAGTCTCGCATTTGCAGCTTTTGCTCATAGTTTATCAGGCGAACGTTTATTTTTCATGAGTGTTAGTCAAGCTTTCTGTGCCAGTGGGTCAGATTTGACGGTTGCAGTCAGTGGGGAATCTAAGAAAAACACTTCAGGTAAAAGAATTCATATTCACAGGAGCAAATTTAGCTTGTTCAGAACAGATTCAAGCAGCATAGCAAATGTCATGTGCTTGCGTTTTACTTCAGTCTACATATTATACATGATTCCTCTGTTACGAACAGTTGGTTTGATTTGCATGGGAGCATTAAAGTGGTAGTCCGTTTCCCATACGTGGATTTATGTGCTAAATGTCAATATTGTCGCCACATTATTTAATATGTCATTGTTTGTTTTTTTGCGCAAGACATGCAGAAAAATGATAGGCCAGTATATTTGTCTATGAATTAAGTGGTCGAGCACTGTTTATTAATATTAAAATGTTTATAAATTAAACGTGAGGACGTTGTATTAATTTGTTTCTATTATTTAAAGGTACACTATGTAAAGGTCCATGTTCAAAATTAACAAGATTTAAAGTCTATTATAAGCATTTATATTTTAGACCTGTCGCGGGAAACTGCGTACATGCGTCTCGTCATATCCGTAAATAGAGTGTAGTTGCTCCGGCTACTTTGACGTGTGTTTGGTGTGGAGTGGCAGAGGTTATTGTCACAGCGAGCGAGAAAGCTCTGGGGAATCACCCGTTTTAACAAACGCCGAAACGAGGAGAGTCTGATGGCAAAAAGAGAAAACACGACAGAGTTCGTAATAAAACAAGAATCAACATTGGCTTGGCTTTTCGTAGATGGTGAGATGTGATGTTGTATTCTAGTGGTGAGGAAGGTGTTTTATAGGCTTTATGGCGAGCGTCACGTGACCAAGCCGGAAAACAGATCACATCGCTTGCGATTCAGGTCTTTTGTATGTGCTTCATGAAATTTTTTGCGGTTTTACTCAAGATAACTTAAAAGGAGCAAGCTAAAATGAGCATAACCAATGTCCCTCGCATGTGGAGTTTGATATTTAAAAGTTTTTACATTTTTCTTCTTCACACTAACGTTTAGATATTTAAATAACATAAAACACCAATAACAAAGTGAACTTAGTAGGTTAGCTGATTACCTTAAAAATCCATAGATATCGTAGTTAGTTCTTACGGCCGTTAACACTTTCTCTGACAAGCGGATGCAATGAGACCTGTTTTCCGGTTTGGTCACGTGACACTCGACATAAAGCCTATTGAACCGATAAAGTGCCATATGTAGCTCTCAAACAGAGTTCATTGTAAAACTTGATCTAACGTGAAGGCTCATATTCATCCGCACATTCCCGCAGAGCCTAAGCACAACCAAAACAATATTCTTCCACAAAATGCATGCAGTTTTGCTTTTTAACCACTAGAAGGTCAAAAGTTACATAGTGTACATTTAATAAAAAATATATATAAATATTTGCATGTATATACTGTATATATATATATATATAAAAATTATATATATAAATAAAAATGTTCTTAAATATATACATGCATGTGTGTGTGTGTTTATATATACAAAATAATTATACACAGTACACGCACATATATTATGTGTAAACAAACTTTTATTTTGGATGTGATTAATCGTTTCACAGCCCTACAAACATTAACTAAATTTAGTTTTCGTATTTAGTTCCAGAGCATATTTGAGTTTTCTCTTTGAAGAGCATTAAAGGCTAATGTTTACCTTGTGGTTTTGAACGCCTAAACACAATGGCCAATCAGAAGTGTTTAAGTTATTCAGAATCAGAACAGAGTTTTATTCAAGTTTGAGCTCAGCGACCTGTCATTATAATCAATAAAGTAGTACAAACTCAATGAAAACAACAGATTCATTGTGTAGTGTAGTCAGCTTCAGTTATTATAACTAGAGTTTTCGCAGAAGAGATTGATGGCTAAAGTGATTTTAAAAGGAGTGTTCTATTCTTGATTTATGTAAAACCGGTAACTTGTGTGATTGGGTTAAATAACCAGGTTATAAGCCATTTGTTGGTGAATCGGAGTACATAGTGTCTGTGCAAGGACAGCTCATTAGAAAGACATGTTCTCTTATTATTCGTATTATTTGGTCACATTTCAAACTGCTTTGTTTAGAATCCTCATGTTGCAAATTACCATAAAAGTTGTCTATTAAAAGCTACACTTCTGAGCATAGATCCCTGGATTAAGAGGGAAGGTCTTGGCAGAAGCACAAGAGTAGCTGTTCGTTCATTTTGGCTCCAGGTTAAATTCTTAGAAACTAAACTCGAAAGACGAAGACACATTCCTAAGAATGCGAGACTTGCCAACAGATGGAGGGATCACAAAGCTTGGGATAGAGGAAGCATTCAGAAGAATAAGTGTTATGTGTTGTTCAATGTATCCTCAGGTGACACGCCATTCTACGCTGACTCTCTGGTGGGCACCTACAGCAAGATCATGAATCACAAGAACGCCCTGACCTTCCCCGAGGACAGCGACATCTCAAAGGATGCAAAAAACCTCATCTGTGCTTTCCTCACCGACAGGTTTGCATACAAAAAATACTTTTAAAGTACAAATAATATATAGTAAGTGTTTCCAGCACCGATCAGTTGCATATCAGGGATTGAACAAAAGCATGTTAGCTCAAAATACACTGTGCTAATCTCATCTCATCTCTCGCTAGGGAAGTGCGGTTAGGACGCAATGGAGTCGATGAAATCAAGCGACACGGTTTTTTCAAGAACGACCAGTGGGCGTGGGAGAACATCAGAGAGAGTGAGTTGAGTTTCTGAACCTCAGATCGGCCAGCTCAGTTACCTTTCCCAAATTCTGACCTTTTTGATTCTTGTCTTTTATCTTTGAAACCATCTACTGTATACTAAGGTATGAAAGACACTGGGGTCCAAAACAAACACTGGACCCCAGTGACTTTAATTATATGGACCAAAAAAAACCTCATTTTAAGATATCTTCTTTTATTTTTCACAGAAAAAGAAATGCACACAGGTTGAAAGAACACAAGGGTTGAGTTGAGCTCTGCAGTGACAGAGTTTCCTTTTTCAAATGCACTCTAAGTGCACAGTACAATCAAATAAAAAAATGAACCATCTAGACCAGGGGTGTCAAACTCAGTTCCTTGAAGGCCACTGTCCAGTAGAGTTCAGCTCCAACCCTAAATAAAAACACCTGAACCTGCTGGTCTTCAGGATTACTTCAGAAACTTCCAGGCAGGTGTTTTGGAGCTGGTTAGAGATGCAGAGTTTGATGTGATCTAGACACCAAGGGCCAGATTTACAAAACAAGGCAAATTAGCGTGGGAACACAATCCAATAAAAGTGCCGATGTGAGTGGAAAGTTCTGCGCGTGATCTACTGACGACGTGCAAATTAAAGAACATTTAATGTATCATTTCCATATTGGCCAGTGCAATCTACCAAGAGCAGCACAAATTAGCATCTGGTTTAAGGGTCTGTTTTACATGACACCATTTTCAACAAAAAACACGTTACACGACAACGGCGTGTAAAAGTTTCAAAACGTGTTCAGTCTATATTGTTTCATCGCCATCTAATGGCCTGGCAGCAAATAAAGTGTTTTTAGTCGTTTTCGCGGATACGTTAGCCTGGGAAAACCCAGACAACTTCCGACAAATTTAGATTTGCTCTGAAAGTTAGTCTGGCAAAGAGCTCATTCAAGCCCATTTCCAATCCGCCGAAATCGAGGCACCAATCAGAAACGTTGGGGCGGGCTTTACACGATGACGACAGCGCTGGGATTTTGAAGCAGATTTTGTAGCCTACATTACAAAGATGGATGCCGCCGTCGAACATCACTCGTTGGAATCAGCTATCGCGTCTGTTTTAAGCGATTTGAACGTTTCCTTTTTGTTAAAAAACGAGCAAAGAACAACACTCGCCGCTCTGCATACGTCATCTGCTTCATCGCTCTGATTGGTTTTAGGTCTATCCGCGACGTCCGTTGGTGACGCCCCTCTGGAAATGATTTGTCTATGACGCTTTGCCAGACCATAACTCAGTTACAACTGACAATGGTCTGGTTTTAACCAGGCTACGGATCCGTGTGAATGGGGATTGTTTTGACAATTTTGTATGTATGCGGAAAACTCAAAGGAAAAACCTCTCTGTTTTAAGCATATCGATGTCGTGTAAACGTACCCTAAGACACGCTTTTTGGGGCGGTAAATAATGGCGCAAATACCAGTGAATTGACTAGCGCAGACCTTAGTAAATTACCTTGCATCATTAATTTAATTACTCCACCCATAAATTTTGCATCTGAAAGAGAAACTCTTCCAAATGCATATGCAATATGATCAGCCGCAAAAATAACCCTGTCCGTGCCTTTTCTGCACTCATTTTTGTCTTTAGTCCTGACAGTAGTTTTTTTTAACGCCAAAAAAGGGTTTGCGCTGGTAAATCTGTTTGTTAGCTGTTAGTAAATCTGGTCACAAAAATCACTGAAGTTTGGGGGTGGGCTCCTTTGACTTGAGTTTTAATGCAACCACCCAAAACACCCTAGCAACAACACAGCAATGCACTAAAACCCCCTGGGAACCTTTTAGCAATTGCATAATAAGTCCATGGCAAACACTCACATTTCCTTTAGAAAATATAAACACGTGTGCAGTAGAATCCATTGCGTTTTGTCTAGTGTGCTTCTCTATATTAAGATTCAACGGTATCTATTCACACCAAGTGCAAATAGCCTGCCTTGTTGGCAGAGGCTATTTACACGAACTCCACCCACAATTGTCTAACTGAGCCAGGCAAAATTACAAAAGAAATCCTGTTGGAGTGTCTGAAATATTCTGCATGGATTGAGTGATTTACATTAAACTTGAGCTGTAGGTTTGCTAATGATGGTTTGTCTCATGGATGTGACTATTGTGAGTGAGTCACAGTCATCGCACCACCAACTGGCAGCAGGAAGTGTTATAAACAGAACAGTCACAAATGCCACAGCCATATCCCCCTGTAGCCCAAGACTGGTCGCCCACTGAAGCTGAGCAGGGTTGAGCCGGGTCAGTACCTGGATGGTGAGTGTTAGTGAGGCCAGCAGGGGGTACGGCTCACCCTGGGGTCTGTGTGGGGACACTATACTGTAACAAGCACCGTCCTCCGGATGAGACGTTAAACCGAGGTCCTGAGTCTCTGTGGTCACAAAAAATCGCATGGCACTTCTCGTAAAAGAGTAGGGGTGTAAACCCGGTGTCCTGGCCAAATTTACTCCATTGAAATTGTATTCACCAGTTTTCAGCACTGTTGTTTTTGTAATTTTGCTGTACGTTTGGGCATGCTGTCCATCTGATTCTGAGTAGAGACACAGATATACCAAGAACAACTGAACTAAAATTGTACCTTCCTTTCATCAGAATCTACTTGTTACATTCTTTGTTTGTTCTCATTAAAATGTACTACTTTATCGTTGCATGTAGCGGCTGCTCCAGTGGTGCCGGAGTTAAGCAGTGACGTAGACACGAGCAACTTTGACGACATTGAGGAAGATCGAGGGGAGGAGGAGACATTCCCCATTCCTAAAGCGTTTGTAGGCAACCAGCTTCCGTTTGTGGGGTTCACCTACTACAGCAATAACCAGTGAGTACAGGCAGTCAGTGCTTAGATCCCAGGGGTTTGTGTTAGATTGGTAAAAGTGAGAAAAAAAGATGAATTATTTACTCCCTATCAGGTTTCCTCGGGAATCACCTATAAAGAGTGACAAACGCAGCTCAACAAAGGAAGATAAGAGTCACGTAAGAACCACTAAAAAGAGTTTATAGCATTATAATAGTGAATCTGTGTCTTAAACTGTGAGGATGATTGATTGTGTTTTTCTGATCTCTCAGTTGGAGAATCTTCAGAAGAGAATTTATCAGCTAGAAGAAAAACTTCACAGTGAGATGCAGCTGAGAGACGAGATGGAGCAGAAGTGCAGGTGTTTATCTGTCTGCTTGCCCATCCACCCAAATAACCTGATCCAACCATTCATCTGTCCATCTTAACCAATCTAACACCTCATCCACACCACACAACCATTCAAAACCTCCCAAACACATCATCCATCCATCCAGAACCAAACACCTCATCCATCTATCCAAAACTAATTAAACACCTCATCCATCCATCCAAAACCAAACACCATTTCCAAACAAATCAAACATTTCATCCATCTATCTACCCAGAACCAAACACCCTATCCAAAAGAAATAAAACACCTAATCCATTCATCAATCCAGAACCAAACACCCTATCTAAACAAATAAAACACTTCATCCATCCATCCACCTACAACCAAACACCCGATCCAAACCAATCAAACATCTCATCATCCACCCAGAACCAAACACTCTATCCAAAACAAATAAAACACCTAATCCATTCATCCATCCAGAACTAAACACCCTATCCAAACAAACCAAACACCTCATCCATCCATCCAGAACCAAACACCTCATTCATCCATCCAGAACCAAACACCTCATCCATCTATCCAAAACTAATTAAACACCTCATCCATCCCATCCAAAACCAAACACCATTTCCAAAACAAATAAAACATTTCATCCATCTATCCACCCAGAACCAAACACCCTATCCAAACAAATAAAACACTTCATCCATCCACCCACCCAGAACCAAACACCTGATCCAAACCAATCAAACATCTCATCATCCACCCAGAACCAAACACCCTATCCAAAACAAATAAAACACCTAATCCATTCATCAATCCAGAACTAAACACCCGATCCAAACAAACCAAACACTTCATCCATCCACCCAGAACCAAACACCTGATCCAAACCAATCAAACATCTCATCATCCACCCAGAACCAAACACCCTATCCAAAACAAATAAAACACCTCATCCATCCATCCAGAACCAAACACCTCATCCATCTATCCAAAACTAATTAAACACCTCATCCATCCCATCCAAAACCAAACACCATTTCCAAAACAAATAAAACATTTCATCCATCTATCCACCCAGAACCAAACACCCTATCCAAACAAATAAAACACTTCATCCATCCACCCACCCAGAACCAAACACCTGATCCAAACCAATCAAACATCTCATCATCCACCCAGAACCAAACACCCTATCCAAAACAAATAAAACACCTAATCCATTCATCAATCCAGAACTAAACACCCGATCCAAACAAACCAAACACTTCATCCATCCACCCAGAACCAAACACCTGATCCAAACCAATCAAACATCTCATCATCCACCCAGAACCAAACACCCTATCCAAAACAAATAAAACACCTAATCCATTCATCCATCCAGAACTAAACACCCTATCCAAACAAACCAAACACCTCATCCATCCATCCAGAACCAAACACCTCATCCATCCAGAACCAAACACCTCATCCATCCATCCAGAACCAAACACCTCATCCATCTATCCAAAACTAATTAAACACCTCATCCATCCCATCCAAAACCAAACACCATTTCCAAAACAAATAAAACATTTCATCCATCTATCCACCCAGAACCAAACACCCTATCCAAACAAATAAAACACTTCATCCATCCACCCACCCAGAACCAAACACCTGATCCAAACCAATCAAACATCTCATCATCCACCCAGAACCAAACACCCTATCCAAAACAAATAAAACACCTAATCCATTCATCAATCCAGAACTAAACACCCGATCCAAACAAACCAAACACTTCATCCATCCACCCAGAACCAAACACCTGATCCAAACCAATCAAACATCTCATCATCCACCCAGAACCAAACACCCTATCCAAAACAAATAAAACACCTAATCCATTCATCCTTCCAGAACTAAACACCCGATCCAAACAAACCAAACACCTCATCCATCCACCTACAACCAAACACCCGATCCAAACCAATCAAACGCCTCATCTATTCATCAAACATCCAACCAAACCAAACACTTCATCCATCCAGCCACAATACATCATCTACCTATCCCAAATCACCATCTTCAATCTCAAATCAAACTCTCAGTCATCCATGTGAAGATCCATCTATCCCCAACAATCAATCCATCTTTCCCCAATTTAATCTCCTCATTCCTATATCCAAACCTAAAGTTAAATTCAAAAATCAGGCCTCTGAAATCTGTTCTGATTCGTTTCCCCCTCAGGGCATCCAATACAAAGCTAGACAAGATAATGAAAGAGTTAGATGAGGAGGTGAGTGAAATGATTTCATCTCTAAAGCGTGCATCTAAATGAATACGGAGGATATGTGTTTTGTATGCAAGGCTCCTCCAATAGATAACTAAAGTTAAATTTAATTATATCTGGTGAAACTTTTATAAAATTAAAATTCTGTTAATTCTCGGTTTCTAGTCATTATGTTGTCTTGACGTGTTTCAGAGTAACCTAAGGAAGAGTGTGGAGGCTAACATGTCTTTACTGGAGAAAGACAAGATCATGATCCAGCACCGAGCAACAGAACATCAACGGAAGGCGGACCAGGAGGCTGAAAAACGAAGAAATCTGGAGAATGAGGGTGAGGAGTCGTCAGGGGCTCATTCTAATTTTGATAAGGCTTCAGGTTTCGCTCAATAACACATTTATATAACAAATGTTAAAAATGAATTTAAAAGGATAGTTCACTTTGAAATTAATTTTTGGTATGTTTTAGCTTACCTCAAGAGCATCCAAGATGTAGGTGTCTTTGTTTCCACAGTATTTTCAATTTTGATATTTTTAGGTCAAACCGTTCTTGTCTGTTAGTCATATAATGCAGGTCTATGGTCACCACCTCAAAGAGCATGCACAGAGAAGTCCAAATTAAACATGATTTAATGACTCGTAAATGTAAGTACACATTGATGGCCTAAGACACGAAACGAGCGGTTTGTGTGAGAAAACGAACAGTATTTATATCGTTTTTACCTCTTGTAACCACAGCCACGTCCAAGTGATCTGAGGGCGCCGGCGCTTCGGTCTGTGCGTTACAAGAGGTAAAAACGATATAAATACTGTTCGTTTTCTCACACAAACCGCTCGTTTCGTGTCTTAGGCCATCAATTTCGATTCTCTTAAGTCTGCACTCGATACGTTCTCGATATCAAGAACACATCTGGGCACTTTCATGCATTCTCTGTACTTGTGTTCTTGAGGATGCGTATTGATAAAAGGCCCATGACTCTTCTGCCTCTTCCTATGAGGGTTAGGATGAGGCGTGGCCTTTAGAGATAGGGGCCGGCAGCCCCACTGAACCAATCAGAAGCAGGGGAGGGACATTTTGAAACAGCACCGTACATGAGTCCTGGCATCCTCCTGTCTTCAGGAGACCGTAATGCCCAGTCATACTTGGCGTTCTTGGTATTGAAAAATGCCTTTGTATTCAGCACTTTGTCGGCAATGTCTTTGGGTTCTCATCATGAACTCACTGATCTTACTCGCAACCGTGTTTTCTTCTGTAGAGCTGTTCAGCTGAAATTGACCAATTTTGCTACATTAACACTGTTATTCTCCTTTTTATTACTGTGAAGCTGCTTTTGAAACAATCTGAATTGTATAAAGTGCTATATAAATAAATGTGAATCGACTTGAGAGCTTCGGGTTTAGGTGAAGGATCATCAACCCTGCTTTCTGGAGTTTACCCCCATGGCAGAACCTCTATCATTTGAAAAATTTCTACATTTTCATGGCATATTCATTCATACTGCTCAGCCTTAAACAGGCTTTTGAGTTGGGCACTGCAGTTCATTAAATGTTCTGTGGAAAACCACATCCAGCAAAGAGCAGTTATGTGTCTGATCTATGACCATGACAGTCTGTAAATTAGCTAATGGAAACAGGACAATAGCCCTAACATGAATATAATTCACCAAGTGCCATATAGGTCCGTATATTACACATTTCATTTCTCTGTTAACTTGTTATAAGGAAAGATGAAGCATCCCCCCTCCCCGTATGAAATCCTTTTTTATGTGTGTGTTGCCAATTTCCTTTTCTCTAGTGTCTACTTTGAAGGAGCAACTGGAAGACTTGAGGAAAATCAGTCAAAACAATGACAAGATCGCCCAGCTACAGAACCAAGTAAGCTTATCAAGAACACTTCTCGTATTCAAATATATTAATAGTTAGACAAGGTGGTGATAATATATATATATATAACTTTTAACAATAACTTTTTTCCCCTCCTGTTTTTTTGTGGTTGGGCCAGTGAATATGTTTTTAGGGCAAGTAAAAATGGGAACCACTGGCCTCACCAGGGCAGTAAAAAACGATTTAGCGTTGAGCCCCGCTCCCCAAATTGCGACGATTGACTAAAGATTACCAACAAGTGTCCAGATAAATCTGTGTCGTGTAAATGCAGACTTATAATCCTGTTGCCGCAACACTGACAAGAAAAAGATGACAAAGACATTTCGTAGCTTCAAGCCTTTACAGTTGACTCTCTTCTATTACTGGCAATATGATTATTTTTAAAGCAATGTTTGAAGGCTACATGCTAATGCTTCAATGTGTTATTAACTTACCATTATTATTAGCATTAATAATTGACTTACTAATTGTATTTAATTTAAGTATTTTTATTTTCATATATTTAAATAGTTAAAGGGAAAGTGTTCCAATAGCTTTCGCTGTGGTGTCGAAATTGTGTAATTGTTTTGGAAGCCATTTGTGGGATGACTTCCTCAAAAGATCATCCAACAAGTGTGGCTCTGTGGTTCTTCGAAAGCTGTTTCCACCACATGATAATTGAGAAACATCATCTTCTCTCACAGCTGGGGGAAGCCAACGGCCTCCTGCGGGCTGAGTCGGACACGGTGGTGCGTTTGAGGAAGAGCCACACGGAGATGGGCAAGTCCATGAGCCAGCTGGAGGGAGTGAACCGTGAGCTGCAGGAGAAGAGTCGCGCTGCAGAGAGTGTCAAACAGCAGCTGGAGAAAGAGCTTCTGCAACTGCAGACCACGCTGGACACCGAGAGACGGTCCTGCAGCCAGGGCTCGGAGGAGATCAGGGAGCTGCAAGGTGAGACGCCCCCCCAGACGACTCCATACACACAGACCACAGATTATATTAACACAATATATGTAGTGTGTATACAGCGCAGCCGGAAGGTATTGACGGCGCTTCACTTTTTCCACAATTTCTTGCGTTACAGCCTTATTCCAAAATGGATTAAATTCATCATTTTCCTCAAAATTCTACAAGGCTGTAACGTAGCAAAATGTGTGAATACTTGCTGTATGCACTGTGTATTACAATATAAAAATATATTAAAAACCCGAATGTGCGATTATCACGATTAATTACAGAAAAAATTCAGTATCACCACGGGAACCGCATCACTGTTTGTAGCATTCTCTGGGCTCGCAGCATTTCTCTCACCGCGAGTGTCATGGCAGACGAGCAAACACCATCATTTTACAAATACCACTGTTGTTGTGTCACGGAATGTAGTTTTTATCTTTATTTTAATCGAATAATCTAAAGTACCTGCTGAGTATGTTCACTCAGCTGCATGATCAAACAGCTCAACTTCTAACTAACCATAGCGGTAACCACGGCAACAGTATCAAACATGGCGGTGTCCATAAAACCGTGAAATTTTACCACGATTGATGGTGCGGACTTAAATAAATGAGTCCAATCGAGACGTGAGTTCATCCATTAGGTGTTTTAAATAACCAACAACGTTAAAATCTTTGTAACTGGTTGCAGACAGTGCGCCTCGCACCCACGGCAGCTCGCTGTATGAACGCAGCCGTATTAAGCACAAAATATGGGACTGACAAATGACAAGTACTGTGTAAAACTTCACTATAATAGTCCAAATCCTTACGCGGCCGTCTCAGCGTTTTGAGGTAGATGTTTTCTTTCTTTTCAGATTCTCTGGTATAGTAGTTGTGCTGCTCCGGTAGGCCTGTGCCATTGCAGTTTCAGAGAGTGTGCAGAGCACTACTTTATTCAGTCTCTGTTTAAAACATTTCCACTTACACTTTAGATCGGGCCAGATATTTCGTATTTTTTAATAACGGCTGATTTTCAGCATGCGTCATTGGGTAACATAAACAGCGCGACGAACTGACGCATTCCACACAAATCGACTAAGTGAATTTTCCACAGATTTATTCCAGTCAACGTGTAGAAACATCTCAGAGAAATGGGATGCACCCGAGCTAAACTTCCAACGTCATAGCAAAGGATCTAAATACTTGTGTCGGTGTGATATTTCAGTTTTTTCGTTTTAATAAATTTACAAAGTTATCACAAATCTGTTCTGACGTGGGAAAATGTATTTGAAGCATTTTAGCAAAAGGCTGCAAGAAAACAATGTGAAAAAGTAAAGGTCTGAATTCTTTATTAATAAAAACATTTTCTATGGTGTGCAAATAGTGTAGATAATATTCATTTAAAATTTCAAAACATTCCCTCTGCAACTATTGTGATAATCCAGTGGGATCTAAGTCTGTTCTTTGTCTCTTGAAGCTCGCATCACTGGTCTACAGGAGGACAACAAGAACGTGAAGCAGAGTTTGTCCAAAGTGGAGCTGGAGAGGAAACAAGTCCAAGACAGATGTAACGTTCTTGAGAAGGTTTGCCGTTTTTAGATTATTTTTTAATGAATAAAAACGTATTTTAAAATGCAATTTTTAAAAAGATTTTTTTGCAGCGTGACTATTTTGATTTACTTTTCCATGCATTACGTTATCAATTTTAAGGATAGATAAGGTACAAAATTGTCCTTATAAGGGTACAGCTCCAGTGACAAGCTCTTTTATGCCTAAAGCTACATTTTTTGACAGTGTAGGAAAGTAAATGTAATGCTTAAAAAAATAATGGTCCTAAAATAACTTAATTTTGTGTTTAACCATTCTCTTGACATGGTTTGTTGGTCAGTCAGCACTATATTGGTAATAGAGTTTGGGCAGGAAAATACAAGGCTTTCTGACATTTAAGCTGATTTGGCTATATATCACTTCTCATGGTATTTCTCTGGGCAGTCTTAGTGACATGACTGCTACACATGAGCAAATATGGAGACTTGCTACTGCCAAAACATACACAGACAATCTGCTGTGAGCATGTAAGACATGCTGCAGTAATAGACACACTTTAAATCCCATAGCAGGTCTAAACCAGTGGAGCTGGGGGAGGTGGAGGGTCTCGGAAACTCTGATAGACCGGCTTACAGCAAACACTGAACCAGACTATTCAAACGTTGAACAAGCAAGCTCATTGTACCATGTAGTGATTGCTAGCAGATTGCATAAAGGACCTATCAGCCTGCACCTTACAGCTGACTCAACTAGTCATTTTCAGCAATGCACTTAGAATGGAAACCTAGGCAGCAACGTTAGGATTTAAAATCTCTCACTGTTTGCAACTTTATAACTGTATAACCATTTTACACACAGTAGAATGAGACTGGTTTACAGTTACACTTAGATTTGCACCGAAATAAACCGTTTTGAAAATATAGCCTCATGCCATAGTCTCACTCAAGGATACTGAAAGTGTTTACCTAAAGAAAAATCCACCCACATACATTTTATTGTATGTGTTGTTCTCTGTGTGTAGGCTGTGTGAAGTAACTGGGTTTTGTGTAACCGGTGTTTCTATGTTCTCCGTGTCCTCAGGAGAAGAACAGTCTGGAAATTGACCTAAACTACAAGCTGAAGACTCTCCAGCAGCGGCTAGACCAGGAATCGACCGAGCACCGCATCACGAAGGCTCAACTCACAGACAAATATGAGTCTATCGAGGAAGCCAAGTCAGCTGCTATGCACGGTATGTGTGTGTGTGTGCAAGACGCACCAATGCCATCTTGCGTGTCCAGAACTGCACGGCGTCTTGTTTAGCTGCATGCCCGGACACCACCCCCTCACTCACTGCTTTAATTTGCTCCAGATGAATATTGTTGGTGTTACAGGGCTGGAATTTCAGTGTGGGATTGCGCATAATTTAACTCATTCCTGCAGATCTTGTGCTCAAACCCAAAGTGCGCGCACACAAAGCCGCCTCACAGTACTAAATTGACTTCTTTTTGCTGCTTATTGTGCTTAAACAGTCAAACAAAACAAAGACAATAATGCTGGTCTTGGTGAGAATTCACATAAACATAGTTATGTTTACAGAACGTTAACAGTTGAGAAAGAAATCGCATGCGTAACGGTATAATGGATCCGTGTGTCGGGTCTTAAAGTGACAGCAGCCTAATAAACCTGCTGCCACATTATGAGATAATATTAAAAACATCTATAAAGCCATTTTCCCCATTGTATCGATGCAGTGGAAATGCGGAGTGGCTAGTAACTTTGGAAAGCCACTAGCCACAGTGGCTGATGAGCAAAACATCTACAATTAAAGTTGCTCTCTCGTGGATGTCCAGGGACAAAATACATTTATTTACTAAACGTTCACAAGTCAGAGACTCAAAATGATACTATGCCTGATACAATTCGTCCATGGTGTTCAGTCTTTCTCTCCTCTTTCTCTCTCCGTCAGCGGTGGAGCAGAAGGTGTCGGAGGAGACCACACTGCGGATGCGATCGGAGAGCAGGGTGGTGGAGGTGGAGAAGCAGTGCTCCATGCTGGAGTTCGACCTCAAGCAGTCCGTGCAGAAGATGGAGCAGCTGATGAAGCAGAAGGAGAGGCTGGAGGACGAGGTGAGTGTCGACAGCTCGGCTTGAGAAGATCACAAACCGTTAAAGGTGTTACGAGTCCCGCATCTTCGGTCTTCTCTCCACCCCACCAGGTCAAGGAGCTGCGGGTGCAGTTGGAGCACGAGTCCTCGAAGCGTTCGCTGTCCCAAAACGAGCTGAAAAGCTGGACGATGGAGGCTGAACGCCTGAAAGGATCGGAGAAGCAGCTCAAACAGGAGATCAACGCGGCCCTCGAGAACAAGCGCTCCGTCGAGTTCCAGTTGGCACAGCTCACCAAGTATGCTCTTTTGCTCTCTCCGGCCCTCAAATGGTCATGAATATATGTGTACATATCTCCCTTTTTTTAAATAAAAGACCACTTTGGAACTATTAGTCAGCAATAGTAAAGTTATCTAGTTTCTAAACAGGGTCCAAATTATATAAATAAAAGCCTAAATTATTCTGTTCATTATATGAAGTAGGGATGCACGATATATGTTCATTTATGGTTTTATCGTTATCGCCCCGATAAGAGAATTGGGCTGATATATTAAAGCCGATAAATACAGGGTTCCCGCGGATCCTTAAAAAGTCTTAAAAAGTCTTAAATTAGATTTTTAAAATTTAAGACCATAAAAAGTCTTATAAAGTCTTATTTTTACTTATGAAAGGTCTTAAATTTTAGATGACACTTTGACTTAGACATATCTAAAAGCTTTCCAAATTAAAACTATCTAATTAGCGTACGTATTTTTAAAAATTTATTATTCTATCTTTGTGGATTTGCTAGTTCACGTGACATTTCGCGTCACTCGCGAGTCGCGGCAGCTGTCTCCTGCACGCGAGAGGAGAGAAGGAGAAGAAAGGTCGTAAATGTCAGTTCAGTTGTAAGTTCATTCTTTATGCGTATGGTGTGCGATGTGTATTGTCTATTATGATATTGTAATCATTGTTTTAACGATATACGAGGCACTGCGAGCTGACATCGCATTTGTCTCTCGTGCTTTCTCTGCGTGATGTGTGCAGTGTAACTGTTATGTCCCCAAATTAGTTTTTGTCTTATATTTATATCATATTATGTTCTTATATCACATCAGAAAGAGTGCCGTTTTCCCGTGCACAATTCCAAGTGTGATATTTATGTTATACAACAGTTAAATTAACAATAAGTTAACATTGAGTTACTTTTTAGACACAATATTGTCAATATTGTTTGTTTTCCCTTTATTTCGCCGACTATAATTTCAAAATGAAACAGTAGCAGAGTCTCAATGCAACCGACAGCGATGATTTCTTGACTGAAATCCGCGTTTTGAACGAATCACTTGCTTCTTTCCCGAATGAATCAGCCATTTGAACGAATCAGTAGAATGAATGACTCCCTCAACTCACTTACAAACAACAGTGATTTGCCGCTGCGGTTTCATATTTAAAGTACCCTTTAAATAAAATGTTAAAATTAGAAATCATTTCATATTTAAATATTGAATATTGATTTAAAAATAGGCTATATATCTCATAGCTTTATTTATGCAGTTGTAAATGGAGTGTAAATATATTAATGCCACTTCTGATGCCGCTTCTGTCACCTCTGCAGTCTGCACTGCAAAGATGGATTTTGATTGAATTATTTAATTTGACTGGTAACAGTGGTACTGTATGATTATTATATAATTAAGTATTATTGTATAATTACTGTATAATTTAATTTGAATGATAGTATTTGACATTAAAGGTGATGCATAACTCTAAATAAGTTTAGAAAAAATTTCCATATATAGGTGAAAATGCCCCTGAAAAAATCAATTTAAGGTGGCAAATATTGCCCCTTAATTAAAATATTAATTTCTGTCACTGCTGCGAACTGACCACTGCATAGAATATGAAAAATATGAATATCTTCGTGAGTCAGCTGTCAACAACAGACCTAAACCAGCCATGGCACTAGCACAAAAACACAATCAGTAAAATATCATCTAATTATTATCAACAAAACGTTGAAATTATCAAGATATATTTTTGTCAATACTGCACAGCCCTAATGTACGGTATTAATTTTGATTTCTTAAGGTCTTAAAAAGGTCTTAAAAAGCCTTAAATTTGACTTTCAAAAGTGTGCAGGAACCCTGAAATAATGGATTATTTCCTTTAGCTGAGACACTTCAGATGCGCACTGTTCAACATGATGGTTTTGAATTGCTTGAAATATGATTGGAATCACTGAAAAAAAAGGAAAATACAGTTATGTTCAACGTGTGCAGCGCAAGTCTGTCCTATAGGCTACATAAACTAAAATGAGAACATTATAATTGTGTGCTTGGGACATGCTTTTAATGGTGAGACTTTTGTTTTTGTAATGAGGCTCTCAAAAATTATATTAAGACCAATATATCGGTTATCGGCTTTCAAATATAAAGCATTATCAGTAATCGGTACCGGCCCAAAATGTTAATATCGGTGCATCCCTAATATAAAGCAATCATATCTCTTCACCAGACTTGGATTAAACCATTCAATTCATATGGATTATTTTTATGCTGCCTTCATGATCTTTTGGGTCTTCTAAGTTTTGATTAACTGGAGTTTAAATGAAGGGACAGAAACCTCTCATTAATTTAAAGTATCCAAAGTCTTAAGGGTTTGAATGACGTGAAGGTGTGTAAATTATGACAGAATTCTCATTTTTGGGTGAACCATCCTTTTAACTTATTTATTTATGTTTTTTGGGGGGTTTTTTTACAAGCATTTCTATTGGTCATTTTGGACCCTAATTGTAACTGTTCTGTCCATAAAATGCCTTACTGGCAACAGCTATTACATTACTGAATATTTAGAAGGCTTTTCTGTCGTAGAAAAGGCTATTATAGCAGATTATGTTTAAACCTGGCCGAAACTATTGGCTGCCAGTATTTACACCAGTGGATTAAGAATCGACCTCCGTCTGGTCAAGATCCACTGCCAGTTAATCTTTTAACTTCCCCTCTGTTTCGTACCTCAAAGTCTGCATAAAATCATTACCTAATTTATATTAAACAGGCGCCCATGTAAGCTTGTTCCGGCCACAGAATAAAAAAATGTAAAAGAGAATTGCGACTTTTCATCTCTCGATTCTGACTTTATTTCTCGCAATTGCGAGATTTTGTCGTCGCGAGATAAAAAGTCGCAATTATCTTTTCTGTGGCAGAAACAAGCTTCCCATAGGAACCTGTATCATTTATATTGGAGCAAAAAAGTCCGAATTGTGAGACAAAAAGACATTGCTTGGCGGAAACAAGCTTCCATAAGTTCCTGACCTTCCTGTGAGTTATGCATCATTTTACATTATTCCAAGATTTTTTTTTTTATATTTTTCTTAAAATATAATTACTTGGTTTATCTCTCAAATGACTTTTGCTTGAGACAACTTGCCCTACTGTTACAAAAAAAGAGCTAGTGGGTGGACCTGCCAGGTTACACTCATTTCTCCTGGCTTGAGCTGTGGAGTCTGAATAAATAGCGCTTGTGAAGCTGAAGTGACATGGACTGATGGAAGCGTGTCTCCTCAGGCAGTACAGAGGAAATGAGGGGCAGATGAGGGAACTTCAGGACCAGCTGGAGGCTGAGCAGTATTTCTCAGTGAGTATCACAGACTAGCTGCACATTTTTCATGTTTCCTTTTTCTTAATGAGGTGAAAACGCATCAAGCGCTTTGAGCGATCGCTCCTCGCGTGTGTGATCATCATCTCGCTCATTACACTGTTTACTTGGCAATTCTTGCCTCTCAGAGGTAAAATACTTCCTAATCCTGATATTGTCCCTAATCCTCAACTTTAGCAATGCTTTTGTAACCTTCTCTGGGTGTAAAGCGCATATAAAGTCCATGAAACTTGCTGGGTTCAAGGCATGTTTCCTATGTGCCAGGTTTCCATTCAAGTTGCGAATTCAATTTATGTAAAAAAAAAGTGGAATCTTGAAAAAACTGATTGCAAAGAAAGCTGCATTTCCGTTAGTATGTACAAGAGAAATGCTTCAGTACATCAACGGAAATGGAGATTGTAGATACAGGAGAAGCTACCGCGGCTTATTTTTTTAATGTAATAAATGACTTTAAGCTTAATGCAAGCAGACACACCAACACAATTCACAACAAAAGGCAGTTATATATTGTCTTCTCTGAGCAAATCATTCAGTCACAGGACTTAAGGCAAAGTTAAGACATTTTTTGATGTGTTTCCATAATATCTTATGTGCAAAAAAACATATCCACCCCGAATAAGCATTTTTTAACAAATTTGTCAGTAACCAGACTAAAGCCCGGGACACACCAAGCCGACGTCAAAGACCTAGCGATGATGAAAGCTGACCGTTGTCGCGTCTCGGCCAAAAAGCTGGGTTGAACACAGTAACACGACTAAAGTCGACTGTCACATGCGTTCTGCTCCTGCGTGTAAGTAAATATCTGTCTATATCAGCAGGTTTCAATAGTCTATTTTTTTCCTCCTTCAAAAAGGGAAACCAAAACTAGGACCTCATTCCAGGCGCCTCATGTTATTATGAAAATATTAGCGCATTCAAATGCTCAGGTAAGGCCATGTTAACACCTGATGTTAAAATAATTTTGGTAGATCGGATAACAAGTGAACGGCGCTAAATACAGGAGTAAACGGGGTCTAAAACGTTTCGAGCTCGTCCACTTCCAGAGGGAGTCGAAAACTCATTCGCCCGGATTGCTTTCGTAGTGTAAACTCTCATGTGGTCAAGTGTGTAGCCAGACGGGATTTAAACTTTGTCGGCTGAAGACCCAAGTTTGGTTTGAAGACGAAAACCGTACCAAACACAATGTTCTCTCACCATTCCCGATTTCTGATCTTGAGCAGAAACGAAAGCTGCTGCTCGTCGTACGTTTTTCTGTTTTCTCCTTTCACGTTCATATGTAAACTGCGTGAGGTTATTTCATCCATTAGATGGAAAGATCTGGAAAAGCCCATACATTCACCCGCCCATAGACCCTCCCCTCGAAGAAATCAGTCAGAAGAGGTTGAAAGTGGACAAAAGTGACGGATTAAAACACCAGGTCATGTGTCTGCCTCGTCTACTTGTGATCCGATCGACCAAAACACATCTATATACCAGGTGTAAACAGGGCCATAGATGACGTCAAATTATAACAGCCTTCTGTCTGTGCCGTCTTGACTTCTTTGCTCATTTTCACCACTTTTGCTTTTATTCTCGTGCACTGATTCGTTCGCTAAGCTAAACAGCCAATCAGAGCGATCTCTCTAACCGACAGCCCGACGCTGATTCAACATGCTGAATAATCCCCCAAAAAACCCTGACGCCGTCCTACTAGAGCCAACGGTGCAGAACACACCGAAAAAACTAAGCCGTCCGACGCTCAAAAACCGTCGGCATGATGTGTCCCGGTCTTAAATAAATATGATAGTCACTTCCAATTTCATCCTGGATTAAAAACCCCTAACACACAGAGGATCACCACTGCAATTAAGTGGTGCAGAGTTAATTATTCTGCTTTTACCACAATTACCAGATGTGCAAGTCTAAAAGACTACATTTCTCAGGTTTTTGGCCTCTCTTTTGTTTAGAACTGTTATGTTTTACACTTTTGATTAACTTGGCACTAGCCTTGGCTTAGGGGGGAATTGATGGAGTTTGGCAAAGTGATATGGAAATGGAACTTGAAATCGGTTACAAATTACCTAACACTTTTAAAACATCAATCAACAAATAATAATCAGCAACGCCATATTATTAGGCTCAGCCTAATGAGTTACGGCCATGTTAGGGTGTCGTGTTCATCAGCATTGTTTATATATTCTCAAGCCATTTTTTCCTGTTTTCAGACACTCTATAAAACTCAGGTGAAGGAGCTAAAGGAGGAGATCGAGGAGAGGAATCGACAAACTCAAGACGCTCTCAAAAAAGTCCAGGACATGTACTCAGAGAAGTAAAAGTCCTCTTCATGAATGTGTAGCTTTTAGAAAAAAATGTTAAAGGAACTAAAGAGTGTCTTGTGACTCAGAAATGCTGTTGAACGTTCTTGTGAACTCCTCCTCCATAAATGTTTTGTGTAGGGAGTCGCTCTCTGCTCAGTTGGACCTCACCATGACGAAAGCAGAGTCGGAGCAGCTGGCCCGTGCGCTTCAGGAAGAACAGTATTTTGAACTCTCTCAGGAGAACAAGAAGGCCGTGTCACGTTACAAACTGGAGATCTCAGAGAAAGACTCCAGCATCGCACAGGTCTGTTATTAGCGGAGGACAGGCATCCTTCTCTCCATCTGACCATTTCATTTATATAGTCCGTTTGTCTTCCAGCACATTTTCAGGATTAGAACAATTTTACTCTGTCATTATTGTCAACTTTGTGGTTATATTAGTGGCTTTTAATTGGAGTATAATGCATTTTCGTTTAGCTTGAGGAATCCATCAAAACCCTTACCAAAGATGTGGACATCCTCAGTAAGGAGAAGGCCGAGTTGGACAGAAGGCTCCGAGCTCAAGAAGAAGGTAATCTTAATTCCAAGTGGTTAACTACAGTTTATCTTTACGCATTAACACGGCTTTTCTAATGTCTTCCTGTAGAGTTCGCAGCAGAGAAGGAGGAGGTGGAAAACTCGGTGAAGGTGAACTACGAGAAGACCCTTAATATAGAAAGAACTCTGAAGATCCAGGTATGACCACCATGCAGCAACTTAGTATAAATAATGTACGTTCTAATAGTGAAAAAGCCAATGTCATCATCACCATAGATTTGAATGTGTGAAAGTGAACAGAATATGAGAACTAGGGAAGTCTTTTGAGAGTCATATGCAAACATAGACTGAATTTAAAGTCCCCCTGTAGTCAATAGTTTTATTCCTTAAAACTCATCTTTGATCACCAAAATGACGTATTTAAATATTTTTTCCTTGAAAAAAACACTTCATGCCTTAAAATAGCTTGAATGTAACTCGACACCCTTCCCTCATTTAGTATTCACGGTTCTATGAATATGCAAATTATCCCCGCCTCCACTCACTCACTCAGCTCAGAGATCCACACGTTGATCTGATTGGTTACAAGGTCGTTTGTGACGTCAGAAACACCAGCGATTTCAAACCGTGTGTTTGAGACTCTTTGGTTCACTGCAGAAAATACTCAGCAATGCTGTCGACTTATGAATTTACACATGGTTTGTCTCAAAGCATATTAAAAACAGCACATAGACATATAAACAACATTAAGCTCAGTGAAAGAAAAATCATCCAAGATGGTGGACAAGTCATTGTTAGAAACATTACAATCTTTTCAAATTTGCAATTTTACCTAATATTTTAATGCCATATGTGTAATTTGTTTTGTTATTAGAATATCAGGTTGTTAACTAATATATTAAATAGGGCTGTCAAGCGATTCAGTTTTTTAACCTAGTTAATTATACAATGTAGCGATTAATTCATCGAATTAATTGCAAATTATAACAGAAACGAACCCCAAAAAGTAATTTTAAGTCATTATTGTGTTAAAAATGAGAAAAGCATCAAATAGACATTTCAAAAAGTAGCTTTAGAAAGATTTTTAAATTTTTTATTCAAAATAATTTAATGTTTTTTTTTTATTAATATCGAAATATAAAATATTTTTTAATGAAATGATAGTCTTAATAAGAAACTAGAACTGCCAGTAGGTGGTGGTACATGTCTTGATAATGACGTCATGGAGTCATTCATTCATTAGATTCGCTCAAACAGCGGATTTATTCAGGAGTGAAGTAACTGGCTCTCTTTATGGATGAGTCATTGAATCATTGGTTCACCCGATTGATTCGCTCAAACAGCTGATTTATTCAGGAGTGAAGTAACTGGCTCTCTTTATGGATGAGTCATTGAATCATTGGTTCACCCGATTGATTCGCTCAAACAGCGGATTTATTCAGGAGTGAAGTAACTGGCTCTCTTTATGGATGAGTCATTGAATCATTGGTTCACCCGATTGATTTGCTTAAACAGCTGATTTATTCAGGAGTGAAGTAACTGGCTCTCTTTATGGATGAGTCATTGAATCATTGGTTCACCCGATTGATTCGCTCAAACAGCGGATTTATTCAGGAGTGAAGTAACTGGCTCTCTTTATGGATGAGTCATTGAATCATTGGTTCACCCGATTGATTCGCTCAAACAGCAGATTTATTCAGGAGTGAAGTAACTGGCTCTCTTTATGGATGAGTCATTGAATCATTGGTTCACCCGATTGATTCGCTCAAACAGCTGATTTATTCAGGAGTGAAGTAACTGGCTCTCTTTATGGATGAGTCATTGAATCATTGGTTCACCCGATTGATTCGCTCAAACAGCAGATTTATTCAGGAGTGAAGTAAATGGCCCTCTTTAAGGATGAGTCATTGAATCATTGGTTCACCCGATTGATTCGCTCAAACAGCAGATTTATTCAGGAGTGAAGTAACTGGCTCTCTTTATGGATGAGTCATTGAATCATTGGTTCACCCGATTGATTTGCTTAAACAGCTGATTTATTCAGGAGTGAAGTAAATGGCTCTCTTTATGGATGAGTCATTGAATCATTGGTTTACCCGATTGATTCGATCAAAACGCTCATTCATTCTGAACGAAACACCACTGTGTGTTTCTCCGAGACACACAACAACAGTTCTGCTCTGGCTTCACAGGTAATATTTCCGTTGGCAAAATTCAGCAAAAACAAACAATATTGTGTTTAAAATATAACAATATCAACTTATTATTTATTGAACTGTTGCATAAAATCAATATCACATTTGCACTTGTGCTATTCGAAATGAAAACGGCACTTGTGTGATATTGCGCTCGTTACTCATGTGAAATAGCTTAACTATATCATATCATATTTAAATATGAGACGACAACTCATTCAGGGGCATGTTTGCCCTGATATCTTGAATTTATGGCCACTCTAACTGCATTCTATAGGCTCCATGATTCATGTTCGTCACCAATCAACTGTGAAATGTAAGATGACCTACGTAGGTCTGGGCTGCTGCGTTAAATGCGTTTATAAATATCGACAACACTAATATTTACATCAAAATCAGTGATGTGCTTTGTCTCTATTTGCATGGTGCCTATGAAGAGCGTTCCTTATCATTCAATTATGAGGATCCATTTTAGTTAGGGACCTGTCTGTGTAGGCTGACAACAAGCAGTTCACTCGGTTTACAGCCAGACTTGTTTGATATGACATGTCTGAAAGGTAAAGAATCTTTTGCTCAAACTTTGACGCCTCATCATGTCCCTGCAGGCGGTGAATAAGCTGGCTGAGATTATGAACCGGAAGGACATGAAGTTGGACCAGAAGAAGAGAGGCAGCACCACTGACCTGCGCAAGAAAGAGAAGGAGAATCGCAAACTGCAGCTGGAGCTGAACCAGGAGAAGGAGAAGTTCAACCACATGGCCATCAAGTACCAGAAGGAGCTCAGCGAGATGCAAGCGGCAAGTTCACGCTTAATCGTTTTCACGGGGACAAAACTGATGCCGACATCAGTGGAATCTGACGATTCTCGAAATCAGTTTCAACAAGACTGTTCTAGTGAAGGACTGCCTCATGAACATGACAATGATGTTGTGTGTGTTTGCAGCAATGGGCCGAGGAGTGCACGTATCGCAATGAGCTGCAGATGCAACTAGACAGCAAAGAGAGTGACATCGAGCAACTCAACGAGAAGCTGAACGACTTGCAGCTCCGCGTGGAGAACTCCAGCGTCACCAGCCTGCAGACGGACGAGCTGGACAGCAACACCGCTGGTAAGCGAACGCTCACGAAGCAGGAATATTTCTGTTATATAAATGAATGTAGAGTTTTAAGTAATTTGGTTAGCATTTGTAGTGATCGGAAAGCCCACAATAGCCAGATAATCCTGAAGCTTTGACTACGTATGTCTTGCCATCATCCCTGTCCATATTTGAAAGTCTGCTAGGAATGGCTTTAAAATCGTTTCATTGGGGGAAAAACACACAGAGCAGGTGAAATGCAAAAAATAAGAAGCAATTTACCCAAATTTCTCAATGCTCATTTGTATTGTAGCTGATTTATGTAATCAGCATGCAACACTAGAATAGGTAACTAACAGTAAGCAAACTTGCCTTTGCGATCATAACGCCACCGTACAGGCCTGTTCGCATCAAGTTTGGTGTGACTAAGGGTGTGTTCAAACTTGTAGTTCGATTCTCGGACCAGAAAAGAAAATGATACGTTTTGCCCTGATTCGCTTGATGATGTTATTTTTAAGATACACTTAACTTAAAGGGATAGTTTACTTTGAAATTAATTTTTGGTATGTTTTAGCTTACCTCAAGGGCATCCAAGATGTAGGTGTCTTTGTTTCCGCAGTAGTTTTTAGGTCAAACCGTTCTTGTCTGTTAGTCAAATAATGCAGGTCTATGGGGTCCACCTCAAAGAGCATGCACAGAGAAGTCCAAATTAAACATGATTTAATGACTCGTAAATGTAAGTACACATTGATGGCCTAAGACACGAAACGAGCGGTTTGTGTGAGAAAACGAACAGTATTTATATCGTTTTTACCTCTTGTAACCACGGCCACGTCCAAGTGATCTGAGGGCGCCGGCGCTTTATTTTGACAAAACATAATATCATATGAGCAGAAATTGCCAAACATAAGCTTATTTGATGTGGCAGTATTTTACAGTAAAAACTTTAATCTATCAAAAATTAGTCAACAACATGTTGTCTTTCATATGTAACATATCGTTTTTATGATTAGGACATATAAATGTTCATTTGCAGTTTAAAGGCCATCTTTCAATTTAATTGTATAACTTAATTTATACAGAATCTTGTATGAAAATGTCAATTTAAAAAGACATGCATAAGAATACATATGTTTTACAACACCCACAGGCAGAAATTCAGGAAAAAGTGTACCTATTCTAAGCTCGGCTCAAAAAACCGCCCTTTTCCAGAGAACGCGTCATATGACGCAACGACAGGCAAACAAATAGGCGTTGCTGCCCTGGTTCTCCGTGTGGGTTTACGTAGTCTGAGAGGTGGTACAGAAAATAGAGCTTGTAGTTATCGTTATAACGTTAGTTGAGTTGGTTTGAATTGTCACAATGGTGAATTCTTGTGTTTGTTTTGGATGCAACCACTCCAACTTGTCTGGTCATCGGGTCCACCGATTTCCAAACAAGAAACACAAAGATTTCCGTGCTTGGATACGTTTCGTCCAGGCAAAGAGAAGCAATTTCTCTGCCTCCTCGGTGACAAGACACACGGTGGTATGTGAAAAACAGTACACACCGGATGGGAACGGGCGGTAATGGTCAGAAATTCGGCGGGAACGGGTGGTAATGGTCAGAAATTCGGCGGGCGGGATCGGGTGGTAATGGCATTTATCTGCATGCCTTACACCCAGTCCACTTGACAATAAAAGATCCTTGTAACAATGACTATATTTACATGAACAGCATATTCCCGTCCTAACCGGAACACTAACTGCTTTCATACACATACTCCGCAGTACATGCGAACTCATTTACATAATGTCCGTCGGAAATACTATGGGAGTAGTATGACAGCCGGCTAAGTTCGGAAAATCTGGGATCTAAATTAAACATTTTAAGACGCATGTTGCTAGCATAGATGGTGACAATATACATGGATGCTTGAAAAACAACAAAGTCGACAGCAATATTGCTAAATATGATTTATTAAAGATACTGCAATGTGATAAACATGGAGACAACGTTAGCCACAATTAGCTAGCTATAGCCTGTGGTCACTCACCAAGACACCTGCCCAATTCTCCACCGATTCTCCTCACACCACAACTCTATCTCTCTCCTCTGTCCATTTACCCTTCCCCTTAACTCTGCCTGACCCCTTTCTCGCCTAGGTGGCTCATAATTATACGGCAATAGCCCATCGGAAGAGTTGACATGAACTCCTACTGCAACCTCTTCAATGTCTGACTCCATTACGAAGAGATGAGATTTACCGGCCGTTGCGTCACGTCCGATCAAAGCGTTTTTGACAGCGGAAGTAATTTTACTCACAATTTCTTTTAAAAAACTTTTTTAATGCACATTTATGATTAATTTCTTCACGCAAATCGAGTTCCTACACCATTTATCTACACATCTATTCACAGGGATCTTCAACTTGAAAGATGGGCTTTAATACGTTGCGTATACAAAAATATTTTATTTCAACATATTTCAGTCGATTTTTACTCATCTCAGTATAGCAATATAGTTAGGTAAAAGCTGTTCATTCATTCACACACAAAAATGCGATTCATAATCAAACAGTCTTTTTGCGTTTACAGACACTATTCATTTCGTGATTAGAACAAAGCACTTGAAAATAATGTACCTATTCCTCAGCTGGATCCGTTGCTCCTCCAAATGAAACTACCTGCACTTCTGAGGTATTTTTTTCCAGGATTATCATTAAGATAGTATTATTCCTCACAGCGTCGTAAATATGAGTCTCTTTCGGTGGGTTATCCAGCTGATGTGGGCGTGGATCGCCTCTGTGTAGCATTTGTGTTTGAATAGCATGCGCGGAGAGTGGGCGTGGTCAGATTATCTTTTAATGAGCTGAGACGAGAACGACTGATATCTCTCTCTTTTCGTACAGATTACATAAAATGAGAAAATTTGTTTTTTATATAAATTACTTCATTTAAAAGAAGATAATTCAGGCTTCATGCCTGTGTGCCTGTATACCTGTTTGACTGAGTATTAGCTGAGTTATAGTTCATTTTCGGACGCGTTTCAGAATGGACTTCACTGACAGAGAGAAGGCAGAAAGTGCATCATGTTTATTTTTCTTTATTTGTCGAAAAGCACAACACTTTGTTTTTATTGTGAGTATACACAAAAAAAATAGACATTTAACAGGATCGAATGATGTATAACACTGGCCTGTATGACGAAAATTGACGGAGTTATTCGAGTCTCTTTTACACTGATAAGAAAAAAAGCAAGCTGGTATCGCCGGCGCGACCGCCGACCCCAGAGGGTTAAAGATACAAAAACAAAAAAAACTGCTTTCGCAACGAAACTTACCGAACATCCAGAACTATGGACACATACATATGATGGGTTTTTTTTCAGCTGAGATTAGGGATGCACCGATATGAACATTTTGGTCGATACCGATTACCGATAATTCTTTATATTTGAAAGCCGATAACCGATATATTGACCGATAAATCTAAATCCAAATATTTTTTTAATATAATTTTTGAGAGCCTGATTACAAAAACAAAAGTATCACCATTAAAATCCATTTCCCAAGCACACAATAATTGTATGTAGCCTATAGGACAGACTTGCGCTGCATATGTTGAACATAACTGTATTTTCCTTTTTTGAAGTGATTTCAATCATATTTCAAGCAATTCAAAACCCTCATGTTGCATCTGAATTGTGTCAGCTAAAGGAAATAACCCATTATTTATCGGCTTTAATATATCGACCCAATTTTGTTATTGGACTATAACAACAACATTAAAAATATACATAAATCGGCTGATATCGATATGGTGGCCGATATATCGTGCATCCCTAGCTGAGATTTATGAACGCAACACAGACCAAAGACAGGACGTTATGTCACAAGTTCTCAGGTGATAAAAATACCATCATGTGTCCGCACAGACAGCGAGCGCGTTTAGTCCGGCACACAGCATTGGTTTGGATGTTCGGTAAGTTTTGTTGCAAAATATACGCGATAGAAGCAGTTGGGGTTTTTTCCTTCTATATTTAGATACAAAATGACCGTGTGAACGCTAAGCGAACCAGGACTAGATGTATCATTTTCTTTTTTGGTCCGGACCAAAAGAACAAAGAGAATCGAACCACATGTGTGAACACACCCTTAATCCCAATACCTCAAACTGAGTTTGATTCCATTCTCTGAAAGCAGTTTGGACACCTATAGACACCTAAAGCCATTCATATTGTTCCTACTTCCATCACTACACAGATTTGCATGCTATAACGCAAAATGAATATGAAAGCCACTGGTAAAACTATGAAAGTAAAATCGACAGTATAGGTGAGAGGGGATACTTTGGAATGCATTTTTTTAAATAGACATGAAAAAATATATTTTTTAAAGTGATTATGCCTATATTCTGTTTATATCAGTCAGCCATTTCAGAAAGAAATCCTTGATCCTGGCTATATTATTTGGCTAATGAATGTCATTTTGTACTTAGGGTATATTTATCAGGACTGTATTTATGATGTTCATTAGATTTAGCACACAAATTGTCCTTATGACTTGTAATGTTGTGATGATAGGATGAAGGTGGTGATGTTTCATATTGCCAGGTGGTGCACATAATCATCATCTTCCAATGTCTGTGTTTAAAGTCTAATCTCTTGTTCTCCCTCATATATAGTCAGTTCTTCTTGCTCTCCTTATCTGTGTATCTTCTATTCTTTTTCCTCTGTGAGTAACTTTAAGGTTGGGATCCCTTTATGCCTGGATTGTGCTCTTGGGTGGCATTTTGTCTCTTCTCGTTACTTTTGTTATTTTTTTAATGAACGCATCTTACTGAATGTCAAATGTGTTTTGGTGATGCCTCAGAAATAAGCTACTCAGAGTGATTTTACTGATAGAGCAATGCTAAAATAGACTTATTTTAAACGAAATTGCTGAAATTAGTGAAACTTATTTTGCTTATTAAAATCATTTTAGACTAAGCTACTCTGAGCACCTTTCAGAGGTGTTTTAGGTCAAGGCACACTCTTTTAATGTGTGTGTGTGTGTGATAGCTTTACTCTTTGTTTTCCTATTGGCCTGGGTTAAAATATTAATATGTGAATGTGATATGGAACTTGGCGTTGCCTTCAAATTGCAAGTAATGCACAGAGGATCATTTAATAATTGCAAAAGTAAAAGTTTCTTAATTTAGCATGGCTTGTCCCTCCCTGGCGCTGTAAAGGTTGAAAACCCTTAAAGTGGTCATGACATGTTTTTTTCTTTATATGTATATATATTTTAATATAATGTTTGTAAAGGTTTTTGTGCACATATAAAAAATATATATATATGTATGTGATGTGATGCGCCACACGTTACTTAATCACGTTAAAAGGTCTATGGTCTTAGTCTATCGTCTATGGTGCGATGATGTATAACCATTCGTCGATGTCTTACTCATATGCAAATGTATTTGCCCGTGTGTCAGATTCCGCAATATCAAAACAGGCCTTTTTTTTAGTTTGATTAAATAAATGCCTGGTTTATAATGAGGGCAACATTTTAAGCTCTGAAACTTGTTTGATGTTTTAATGGTAGAAAGACCTCTTATATTTGAAAATTTGATCTCTCATGTCATGACCCCTTTAATTTAACCAAATGATTTAAGTTATCCAACCCTAGAATTGATCCAAAGTGACTTGAAAATAACATATTCCCAAAAGAATGAACCCATCTAATCACATTGGGAAATCAGTGTGAAGCACACGTGTTCCTGTGTGTTGACTGTGTACGGCTGGTTGATCTATTGCACTGGAAGCATGCTCACTACAGAAGGAATGATATTAAGCATTCACACTCAGTTGTGGTCACACAGTTTTTGCATGATTTTTTTAGAACAATTCTTATGTGGCCTACCTGTCTCCCTCACAACCACTGCGTGAACATATGCCTTAAAACCAGTAACATTTTAATTTAATTGCATCTTAGTTTGGTTGATATGTCCAGAAAAGGGGCAGAATAACATGCGTTGATGATAAAATGTACTTTGTAACAAACTGCTGCATTGAGCCAGTTACTAATACTGCTATAAACGTGACACACATTCCTGGGTTTATTATGCAAAATTTCAGTCTACGTCGTTCAGAAAAACATACAGATGTAGTACTGTAATAAATTAGCATGTTAATCAAGCCAGATAGCTAGTACTGTAGCTGCTGTTGTTCTGAGCGATCGTGCCCATTATTCCAAATAAAAATGAAAATGTAATAACTTGGTATTCTTCTTCCACTGACATCACTAAGGCTGTGGTCCACGTGAGCTATTATAGTCAAAATTGATTGGGTAATGAGTCAAATATCTATTTGGCCATTGTTTTCTCACATTCACAATAACATCAGGATCTGTTTACGTATGGGACATCTCATTTTCACCGTCTTACCAACCCTTGATTGGTAGTTAGTTTCACTTAACAAAACAGCATGAGATTTTACAACCACAACCCTGTGATGTGGGCAGTTGTTTTAAAGTGTACCTGGTTTACGCATGTTAGTAAAAGCCAATCGGTTTTTGTAGATTGTGTCACAACCTTGGTTTGTGTTCCCGCATGTCTATTTCTATTGCTTGTTCAAATTCTGACTTGGATATAATGGAATTTCTTTGTTTTCAGAATCAAGGCTCGAAGGCTGGCTCGCAATACCTAATAGGGTTAATATAAAAAGATATGGCTGGAAAAAGCAGGTAAGACTTGCATGAAGAATTATGTATTAAACTATTATTGTCCATGCATTTAGACGTGCACGACCTGCTCTTTTCCCCCCTTTTCAATGTTTGTTTTTGTGTCCCTCAGTATGTTGTGGTGAGCAGTAAAAAGATTCTCTTTTACAATGATGAGCAAGACAAGGAGCAGTCCAACCCCTCTATGGTACTAGATATTGAGTAAGTATTCTGATGAATAACTAATATCCATGGTTCGAAACATCCATGTTAACTGGCCACTTGATTCATTCGTGTATGTAAAATTGAATCATTACACTTTCTGCTATAATAACAAAAATGTATTATTTCAAAACAGCAAACTTTTCCATGTGCGTCCTGTCACACAAGGCGACGTTTATCGAGCTGAGACGGATGAAATTCCACGAATATTCCAGGTCAGTTATTTTCAATGTTTTGCACAGAGTTCCCTGTAATGACGCATCACCGTATCAATGCTGTATGCATAAATAGGCATAGTTCAAAAACTGTGCCGGATCATGTTTGGGAAACTATTGTAGGGAAGCTGAAATCATTCCAACTTTGTTGCAAGGTATTCATAATCTGACGTTTCACACTGTATTTTCCTAAAACCTCGGATAATGTCCTTATTTGCATATGTGAAGTGTCAGCGTCTTTGATTGGACGAACACAGCACACGACCTGTTTGCAGAAAAGGCTCTTGCATTGTTCATCCTTATATAATATGTTGACGACTGTACTGACTTTTCAGACTGTAAATGTCACGGTTTCTGTCACCATTTGACTTTTTTTTCCTCAAACGCTGAAACATAGCCTACTTTTTATACAACACGCGGCAATTCTGCGACTAACCAAAGCATGTGAATATGAGGCACGTGATTGGGTTTCCTTTGCTAAGCCTCTGGCCGCATCATTCTTACACCGTATCCTTTCACACTGGACACATTTGGTACCCTAATGCAGGGTTAACACCTCCAGCGCAGGGTTTCATAAACCCAGGTAAGAAGTGTTAACCCTGCTTCTAAATTGCACGTGTGAAGCGTTTCTGTACTAAAAGATTTAGTACAACGATAACCAGGTGTTAATTACAGTGTGAAAGATGAACAATACAAGCCGATATGTGCATGCTGTTAAGAAAATGTAGAACGTGCTGCTGCATCAACAAGCAGATTTATCACCGTGATGTATGTACCGCTGCTGCTCCAACGAGCCATTAGAACTGCATGTTTGTTGTCTAAGTGTGTCTGGGCCTTCTTTGCCAAAGGGTTTTACGCTAGTGGACTATTGATATGTGTGTCTGGTCGCTTCGCCAGATAGCTTAAAATCTACTGGCTTGCCCAGAGTATTTAACTAGTTGCTATTGTTAGCTAGTTAACTACAGTTCCCCATAGTATCAGTTACTGACGCAATGTCAAGTGAACCAAAATGGAAAGGGAACGTCTTCAGCTACATCGATATCCTCGATTCCCTGAGATGAAGGAACATGATATTGCGTAAGCTGGCTGCATTTCTAATTCTTGAATTTATGAGAACTGGAATTCGGCACTGCTTTATATAGAACCCACCTCCCGACCCCGACCCCCTTCCAATTAGCCACACTCAAACCCATTGGCCAGTGTTTTACATTGCCGTTTTTCAATAAAACTTCAGTATTTTTGGAAACAGGTGTTTCCCCATAGTATCAGCTACTGATGTAATATCTCATACCCTCATCTGATACATAAGTAACCAGAGACGTTTACATTACACAGAAATTAATGTTTTGTACAAAAGGCCAAATCATAAAATTGATGCGGTTGGCTAGTCTGGTTAAAACCAGACCATTCTCAGTTGTAACTGAGTTAAGCCCCGTTCACACTACACGCGACTTTGTCACTGCAAGTCGCCAGTCGCTGGCGATGAGGTCGCTAGTGGGCGTTCCCACTACTGGTTGACTAGTATGACATCCAAAAGACAGCGAATCAGCTTTCTTGCCGCTAAAAAACACAGTTTCTGGAGGGAAAATACTAAATATAAATATACTCCGTACATAAAAACGTCTGTAGCCTAGTGAAGCATGAAGATGAACGAGACACAGAAGTCGATTTTTCTCGTTTTATCTACGGCATAAGTGCAAACGCCGGTCTATCTGGGTTCACGAGACCATTCGGGCTCGGAGACAGCACGGCGAGTATCACCGGCTGGTGCAGGAACTGCGGCTGGATGAAGTCCGGTTTCAGCAGTACTTCAGGGGCTGAGGAGAAGGATCACGTGCGCTCCACTCCTATTGGTTGTCGCTCGCGAAAATCGCTCTTCATTTGCATAAAGTTACAAATTTCTCAACTTTGTCGCGCCGCCAGACACGCCCCATCTAGTCGCCAACGATCGCTGTCGCCGGAAGTCGCCCGCTCACCATTGAAATGAATGGTATCGCGTCGCGTGTAGTGTGAACGGGGCTTTATGGTCTGGCAAAGCGTCATAGACAAATCATTTCCAGAGGGGCGTCACCAACGGACGTCGCGGATAGACCTAAACCAATCAGAGCGATGAAGGAGATGACGTATGCAGAGCGGCGGAGAAACATCTCCGAGTGTTGTTCTTTGCTCGGTTTTTAACAAAAAGGAAACGTTCAAATCGCTTAAAACAGACGCGATAGCTGATTGGAACGAGTGATGTTCGACGGCGGCATCCATCTTTGTAATGTAGGCTACAAAATCTGCTTCAAAATCCCAGCGCTGTCGTCATCGTGTAAAGCCCGCCCCAACGTTTCTGATTGGTGCCTCGATTTCGACGGATTGGAAATGGGCTTGAATGAGCTCTTTGCCAGACTAACTTTCAGAGCAAATCTAAATTTGCCGGAAGTTGTCTGGGTTTTCCCAGGCTAGCGGTTGGCAGGATTCTGTGTAAAACAGCAGTAACAGTTTTTGCTTTTATAAAAAATGTGTGATACATTGTGCAATATGCATGTATGTTAATGTCTCAAAAATGTTTTGATGACCCTCTAACTTTTACTCAAATGTACAATTTGAAAAATATGTTTTTGTTCTTCAGATACTTTATGCTAATGAGGGTGAGTGCAGGAAGGAAGCGGACATGGAGAGTGTTCCTCAGGGTGATAAGGCCAACTGCTTGCCCCACAAAGGCCATGAGTTCATCCCCACCCTCTACCATTTCCCTTCTAACTGTGAGGCTTGCTCCAAACCCCTGTGGCACGTGTTCAAGCCCCCGCCAGCCCTGGAGTGCCGCCGCTGCCACGTCAAGTGCCACAAGGACCATCTGGACAAGAAGGAGGACGTTATCGCCCCTTGCAAAGGTGAGCCACAAGCAGAAAAGGCCTCTGTGTGTTTACTCTTTTATTATATATTTTTTTTACATTTATAGTGTTTGACTGAAATGTAAATAAATTGTAGAACTGAAAAATTTAGATTTTTCCTTCTTAATTAAGTTAATTAAGTACGTTAACTTAGTTAATTCCTTCTTGTCATAAAGGTCCCAAGTATTGATTACAACATGCAAACATGAACTAACAACTATTTTGATACTGAGTTAATCTCTTACTTGTTTCTTTGATTAATAAGAGAAAAAAGATTGAGATTGAATTATTTCTAGCACATACTGATCTTGATTTTATATATAACAACAAACTTACTATTTTTCTCACACAGTGTAAATTAGTTTTATGATGTATCTCTCTTTACTACTGTTTATCCCATAGTTTTACAAGGTTTTTGCTATTCAGCTTTATCTTCTCCATTTTGCCCAGTCCTTAGCATTTTCTGGGCAAGGTCCACGGCCCACATATATACTGGAACACTGTCCATCCACCGTTTCTTTGGTCTTCCATGCTGTCAGTGGCCTCCTGGGTTGAAACAGAGGGCTGTTTTTGCCACAGAGCTCTTGTTGCTGCTCATTATATAGCCGTATACAATGCTTCCCGCATATTCTCCATGATCGAGGTGATTCCAAGCCTTTGAGACGGGTCAGGCCAAGTGTCCCCTGGAGCACCTTCATATCCTTGGTGTGGAGGGCTTGCTCGTGCTGCTTTGTTGTGGCCCAGCACTCTGCCCCATTAAGGGCCTCTGAATGCACTACAGTCTTATAGATTTTGACCTGTCTCCACTTGAGCTGCATCGATTCTTCCCCGGGCATCGAGGATGGTGTCGCCATCTGATATGACCAAGGATCTGAGGTATTTAAACTAGATGATCTTTTTCAAATCCTGTCCATCAATGTTGATGGTGCCATTGGTTTGGGGGGCCAAACTCCAGGTACTCTTTTCAATGTTTAGCCGCATTCTGCTTCCACTAAGCCGTTGAGTGTTGAAGCACAGAGCAAGTCTCCTGCAAAAGCAATGCTTTGCGTACAAGAGTGTCCAGGGGTGCGGTGATTGGAAGTCTGCTGTCATTGTGTCTATGCAAAGGATGAACAGAAGGGGTGAGAGGGCTGAGCCTTGGTGAACACCGACAGTGATGTTGAAAGGTGGTGAAATCCCAACTGGGCATCAAACCATGCTTGTGACATTACTGTAAAGAAATTCGACCACATACACCTCAGGGATGTCATGAGATTGCAGTCCTCGCTAGATAAGGTTGTGTGAAACTCAATCAAATGCCTTTTCCAGGTCCAGGAATGCCATGTGCACCGTTCTTCTCCTGGTGCTTCTCCGTCAGCAACCAGGTGGCAAGAATGGGCTCCATCATGGTGCCACATCCTTTGATGAACTCACACTGATTGGATGTGATGGCAGTGATGTTTTGGAGGTGCTGGTCCAGTACCCGCTGAAATACCTTTTGAGCAACCGAATTTGGGTGGGAGTTGCCCTTGCCTTTCCTGATTGGCACAGTTGTGCTGTTTGTTCAGGTATGGGGGGCTTGGTCTCAGCTATGACTCGAATGAGTTCCTCAAAACTGCTGCTTCACACTCTCCAAGCATCTTCCAGATCTCAGCTGGTATGTCGCCGTGGCCAGTCCGCTTCCCATTCTACATCTCACTGGACGACTTTACCTCCATAGTTGAAATCAGTGATGCGGGTCTAAAGGTGGGCTTGATATTAGCGGTAGCGGTAATTTGTTTCAAATGCCGGCAAAGTAAATCAGAGTTTCCCATGACCTGGTTGTCAGCCTCTATGATTTTCATGACATGACCGATATCTTGGGCCGGACGGTGGCAGAACTTGACGAGGCGGGGGATGTTGTTTGCTCCTTCTGTTGCACTTCTTTGTTCCACCACGTTTGATTGACAGTGAATTTTACCTGTAAATGCTGATTTTAAAAAAATGTAGGTAACAGGCCCTCTAATCAGAAAGTTACATTTAATCTACAGCAAAGACTGTGTGACGAGGCATCTCACAGCAACACTCATTTTGTTCTTGTCCCTCAGTTAATTATGATGTGACATCAGCTCGAGACATGCTGCTTCTGGCCTTGTCCCAAGATGAGCAGAAGAAATGGATTGGTCATCTCGGCAAGAAGATTCCCAAGACCCCGCCTTCTACCTTCTCAAGGGCGTCTCCACGCACAATGTCCACTCGCTCCGTAGCAAACCAGTCCTTCCGCAAGAACCCCAAAAACATGCCAGGAAAGCCAAGGTAACTACAACCATACAGTGTCACACCAATCTTAAAGCACATTATGCATTTGGAGCAGAGAATAGGATTTTCAGTGCCGTATAGTTTTAACCAGAAAGCATTCTCTCTGGATTTGATTGCAAGTCACATTTCACTCCAAAAGAAATAATAAAATGTATTCAGGACAATAAAAAGCAAAAGATTTCCCCCATTTCTCATTAATGTAATGTAGTGATGAAATAAAAAACATGATGCAATAATCTTTCTGCAGCACTGGCAGGATTCTGGTCACTCCATTTAGTAGTGGTCGTTCCTATGTCCTATCAAAGTCCCTTTAAGACAAGTCATTTCACTCGGCGACCATTTTGAAACACCTCTCGGGCATATGCAAGTGCAGCTCCTATCTCTTTGAATGAGGAAACATCAAATTTTCCAAATCTGTTCGCCAAGCTTACGATTAAATTTCATATCTGCAATCACCAATGAAATCTGACAAAAACTGTCTCATAAATTTTGTTTCTAAACGCTCAAATCATCGAAGCGCATCTGACTGTTTCTATAGGAACCGGAGCTTCTAACGGCAGGTGCAGTGACGCGATGACTTTATCAATCGCCGATTGGCTCTTATTTCGAAGGCGGGAATTATTCCACCATATTAAGCGTTGCACAATACGAGTGACGCGTCTTGTGTTATTCTATAGTGTTTCACCTCAAACATGATGGTCTGGTGGTCGATGGCCCTTCGCCACAGCAGTGTTTTTATTTATTTTTAAAAAGGAAAAGAAAAGAAAGAAATTGCCACCGTCATACCCCTACTGTCTGTGCTATCATTAATAACAATCAAAAAGAAATAAAGCTAATGCTGAGAGAAAAAGAAAAATACTGATCTTTAAACAATTCTCAGTTGATTGACATGTGCATCTTTGCTTTAATTAAATTTGTATAAGTAAGTATCTCAAGTAGTTAAAGGTTAAAAGGAGTGTTTAATCGTATTGGTAAACACTACTGAAATTTTGGTATTGTGACAATAAAACCAAAATAACTTTTGTGGCGTTAAAAAATATGTATTTAAAAAGTATTTATTTCATAGTATTTGCGGTACTGACTTTATGCTGATTTAAAGTAGATTTTTGTTCTTCATTGTTGGAAATATTGGTAAATAAAATAGCTAGATAAAAAAATTAAATGACAAAACATTGACTTATGCTGTAGCTTAAACTCATCAGTTACGTTGTGTTTCAAACTGTTGCGACAACACACACACACACACACACACACCTAGCTGAAATGATTGCTTTAAACATTTATGATGCTGTTTTTGTGGTTGCTACTGTAAAGCAGCTGTAAAGCAATCCGTATTGTATAAAGCATTATATAAATAAACTTGACTTGAGATACAGTATGGTATTAGAATGGGTGAGGGAAGTGCTTGATTGTCATGAAAATAATGTCTTGGCTCAAAAAACCCTATGGTCCTAAAAAATAAACTTCATGCTAACATAATTCCTTATTAAAATGTTTTAATACATACTACATTTGGGGTGAAATGTGACTGGGACATGTTTTTATATGATTGAGATGTAATTATTGCTAATGAAGGCCATAAGTTCCTGGCTGTAGGGGCAGGGTAGTCTCGTGACGGGCTGTTTATTTGCTGTTGTCTTGTAGCAGGGCGCAGTCCAGTCTCCATGCGGCAGACACAACATCCAGTACATGCTGACAACATCATACAGCTTCTCCACACCTTACATGTCTAATGGTGTAGTCCACTGCTCCTGTGTTTGTTCAGTGCCTTCATTCACAGTTTTAAAGGTCGAGGTTAACTGTGGTCAGTTGCTCTTTAGAGGCCTGTCCTTTTATGTTTACTCTGGGTTTTTGTTTACTAGAATGACACATTCTTTCTGTTACAAACTTAGCCAATTAAAAGGGAATTTCCTTTATCTGGACAGAGGCTCTCTACGGTCTTGGTTTTAAAACTTGAAATTTCCCCCTATATTCTGCCATTTGTATCTTGTTTCCACTGCAGGAGACAATGGGTGGAGATTGGTGTCCAGCTCCCCCGTCTGGGAGTAATATGTGCATCTAAACCAGGGGTGTCCAGTCCTGCTCCTGCGGGCCACTGTCCTGCAGAGTTCAGCTCCAACCCCAATCAAACACACCTGAACCAGCTAATCAAGGTCTTACTAGGCATACTAGAAACTTATTGAGGCAAGCTGGTGCTAAACTCTGCAGGACAGTGGCCCACAGGACTGGACACCCCTGAGATAGACGGTCCAACCACACCCATAACCCTATCACTAAACATAACCCCACTGGTGTTGTCAAAAGTACCTACTTTGGTACCAAGCTGGTACTGATATTTGTAAAAATGTGACGATACCAGCATTTCCCTCTAGCATTTTGAGCGCTGTTGAACGGATTCTTAAACACCTCTGATTGGCCATTGTGTTCATGATGGATTGGCTTCAATATAAGCTGTTTTTAGACTAACAAGAACGGTTTGAGTTCTGAAACTTACAGGATGTTTTTATAGTACTTTTATGACCTCTTATATGTTAAAAGATCAATTGAATTTTGATTTCTCATTTCATGACCCCTTTAAGCAAAATAATCGTTAGCCTATTATCAATTTAACCATTATGCAGCATGACGAAAATATGACTAAGTTTTCATTGATGCCCACGCTTTTAGTCGACTAAAACTTGACTGAATGAAAACAGGGCAAGGTTGACTAAATATGATAAAAGCTAAAAAGTACATTTGACACAGGATTAAGACTAAATGGAAATAGCTGACAAAATGAACACTAGCACCAGTGCACAAAGCAAGGTCCATAAAGACATGGGTGAGCGAGTTGTGGAGGAACTTGACTGGCCTGCACAGAGTCCTGAGCTCAACCCGATTGAACAGCTTTGGGATGAATTAGAGCGGACACTGCGAGCCAGGCCTTCTCGTCCAACATCAGTGTCTGACCTCACAAATGCGCTTCTAGAAGAATGGTCAAAAATTCCCATAAACACACTTCTAAACCTTGTGGAAAGCCTTCCCAGAAAAGTTGAAGCTGTTATAGCTGCGAAGGGTGGGCCAACTCTATATCAAACCCTACAGAATAAGAGTGGGATGTCATTAAAGTTCATGTGCATGTAAAGGCAGGCGTCCCAAAACTTTTGGCAATATAGTGTATGTTGAGCGCATGAACGCAATGGCCAATCAGAGACACATATGTTGAGCGCATGAACGCAATGGCCAATCAGAGACACATATGCTGACCACGTGAACACAATGGCCAATCAGAGACATATATGCTGACCACGTGAACACAATGGCTAATCAGAGACACATATGTTGAGCCCGTGAACACAATGGCCAATTAGAGACACATATGCTGACCACGTGAACACAATGGCCAATCAGAGACATATATGCTGACCACGTGAACACAATGGCTAATCAGAGACACATATGTTGAGCCCGTGAACACAATGGCCAATTAGAGACACATATGCTGACCACGTGAACACAATGGCCAATCAGAGACATATATGCTGACCACGGGAACACAATGGCTAATCAGAGACACATATGTTGAGCCCGTGAACACAATGGCCAATTAGAGACACATATGCTGACCACGTGAACACAATGGCCAATCAGAGACACATATGTTGAGCCCGTGAACACAATGGCCAATCAGAGACACATATGTTGAGCCCGTGAACACAATGGCCAATCAGAGACACATATGTTGAGCCCGTGAACACAATGGCCAATCAGAGACATATATGTTGAGCCCGTGAACACAATGGCCAATCAGAGACACATATGTTGAGCCCGTGAACACAATGGCCAATCAGAGACACATATGTTGAGCCCGTGAACACAATGGCCAATCAGAGACACATATGTTGAGCCCGTGAACACAATGGCCAATCAGAGACACATATGTTGAGCCCGTGAACACAATGGCCAATCAGAGACACATATGTTGAGCCCGTGAACACAATGGCCAATCAGAGACACATATGTTGAGCCCGTGAACACAATGGCCAATCAGAGACACATATGTTGAGCCCGTGAACACAATGGCCAATCAGAGACACATATGTTGAGCCCGTGAACACAATGGCCAATCAGAGGTGTTTAAGAATCGGTTTCAACAGTGCTCAAAACACTAGTGGGAAATGCTGGTATCATCACATTTTTTAAATTTCAGTACCGAAGTCGGTACTTTTGACAACACTAAACTCCACCCATTATGTCCAGAGAGGGGGAGCTGGATGTCGTTTTTCTGTTATTTAAATTTCTATGATGGTAAAAAAAAATGTCAATCACACAAAACCTGTTAAAGGAATTGATTATATTTTGCTTGAAGAAAATGAAGCTTATTTTGAGGATGTTTTTTGTAGAGTCTCATTATTGACATGAGTATCACTAAAGCTGCTTCTGTATCGATCAGGCAGGACATGGACCGCCGAACAATTCTGGACAATTTACTGTGTAAATGTACCATGCACTGTTATACAGTGTTCAGTAACCAGCTGTTACTGTACTGTGATGACAGTTTGCTATTCTTATTACTGTCATTTAAAATAAACAACAAGAATTACCATTGAGATTTCAAATATAACATCCAGATGCTTTGTAGTCATTTTAAGGATAAATGTCATAATGCATACAAATATCTTCAGGCTTTATTTCCTTCATGTAAAATATAACTTCTGCAAGTTACTACTGTTGTTGTTCTCTGTTTTCTGCAGTCAAATGTAGCGTTTGTTTTGTTCGATTCGCCCACGTTGAGAGATGTGTGTGAATCATATGATGATGACTATGAAAAGTGGAATTTCAGTAAGAGTGATCCTACATTTAAACTTTCTTTCAAACACTGGACATTTTCTTTTCTTCTTTCTTCCAGCTAACCATCTGAACCTCTGGATTAAATTGGGATTTTTGTACTTTCCTCTCTAAGAAAAAAAAAAGAAAAGAAAAAAAAGTATACACAAAATCTGTAACAAACGTGTAATTAACCTTTTTAAAGTTGCATTTCACAAGTGAAAAAGCAGACGGTAATTGGTGCTGAAATTCAGGATTTACCTACCGCAAGGCATCATGGACACTTCTTGGCATCATCTTTTTCTGCCCTCTTCTCCCCATAACACGGGTTTTTCTCAGATTCCATGTATTCGACACCATATATCCTACTGTCCAGAGGAAAGCTTTGACATCTTTTCACAGCTTGGCAAGGAAACTATAGGCTGTTCTCATGGCCATGTCTTTCTGTCTGGACTCTGAAACCTCTGGGATTGGGACTATAGCTTTTGGCACCAATGCAAATGGGGAAATTTGGGGAATTAACGGTAAAAGGGTCTCTGGGACAGTCTTTTTGATTGCAAACCATTTCCACTTCGATACACCTTGATGCCGCCTTCTGATGGACTCTGGTTGCCTTATTCTATGCCTCAAAATGAATTGGGTTTGGTTGCAAAGTATTGGGTACTGAGAGTTTCCGAGGGGAGATTTCGAGGTTTTTTTATGGAGCATGGAAGATCATTACAGTCTATGCATAATATTATCATAATTGTCATTATCATTATTATTGTTTTTGGAGGCTCCAAGCCATAGGATACCATCAGAATGGCATCAGGAGACATAAAATGTCACAGAAACCATTGAAAAGAAATTGTGTCTGTGTGTGTGTTCATTTGGTACATTGTTTCTGTAATATTCTTTTTTTTTTTTGTAACGTGTCGCCTTACATTTGATTCATAGATAAATGTTTCAAAAAGGAAAACATTAAGTTAACAAATGTAACTGCACTGTTTGAATTGTAATTTATTTGTAGAACTAAACATCTGTAGCGTTTGGCTCACCTAGTGCCTTTTGGATTACAATTTTACTGCCATATCTGTTTGCGCTCCTCTCCAAACAAATCTTTACTATTATCATACTTTGAAAACAAACGTATCTATTACAGTGTGATTTTTACCAGAACCTAAAGGGTTTGAAACGGAGCGGACCATCTATTGCATGTCTTCAATGTTGTCAACCAAAGTTCACAAGTTCTGCATGTTGAACCATGACGAAGGCAACATGCCCTGCTTTTTTTCTTTTATAATATCAATTAAAAAAGACCGTAAACATCCCCAGCTCCCCGTCAAAACGGTTTCCGTCAGTGTACATACTCATGAATCGAGATGATGAATACCTCCTCAATAATCCAACATGGTTTTTACAAATGTGTTCAGTAAAATAAGCACTGGAACAATGATCTGTTTTGATGTGGATGTATTTGCATGTTAAATTGCATTGGAGGCCGCACTGATGGATATGTGTCAATAAACACATCTTTATCTATCGCCTGAGTGTGTTTACCTGTTCTTACCTTCCTGGTGTAATCATTCTTGATGTTTTGTCAGCTGGTGCCTTCACACCTCGAGCTGACCTAAAACACTGTACAGTTTATAATGTCAGATGTAATGCATTTTAAATGTGAATGGCTAATAATCATGACATGAGGGATATACTTTTTAAAAAGTTTACAGAGATTAAAAAGGTTTGTGTGAGTGAGTGAGAGAGAGAGTGTGAGAGATCATTGTTAGCACATACATTATAATACTTATCTATTTATTGTTGCACCAACATGACAAACTACCAGTTTGAGATCTAATAAGGAATCTACAAATAATGCTTTTTATCTTTGGTTTTACATTACATTGTACATTATGAAAACCTATAGAAATCAATATTAGGTTATACAATACAGGTTATAGATCAAACCTGTTATTTATTTGGCGTTCAATTGCATGTTTTGCCCTCATCCTTCCCTTGGGTCATTTTGAAAAATGTAGTGTTAAGGGGGCCAGACCCCAGGACTTTTCTCGCACTTGAACCACGAATACACATGAAATTGAATGGATTCGAGGAGTCTTGTGGTTGAAATTTAAAAAAAGTAACAACTCCTTCCCTCGCGGGTCAATTTGACCCCCATAGGAATGAATAGAGTGCAAGGAATGCTTCTGTACACTTAGAAAAACATAAAAATGCTAAAACTTTAAAAAAAA